CGGGCAAAGATCCATGTCAGCAGTCAAGGCACTCATTAGAACATCTTAGTGGTACATCTCATTAGAACATCTCGTTACATCTCATTATAATCGTTGTGGTATGACAGTTGAAGGCCCACCAGGCAAATAAGCCGAGATTATATGGACTGGAGCCTTTCATGGGGATAACGTTGGTAGGGTGTCCACACTACAGAGAGCACTCGAGAAGGGATCTGACAAGGTGACAATAGAGGGTTTTCATTGCGAAGAGAGACAAAAAGAGACTTGAGTACGTGGGTCTTTGAGCCCAAAGAAGCAGTGCACATAACACCCAGATCCTTCATCTCATACACTCTATCAAGGTTGTGCGCAAGCTGTAGTTGTAGAATACGGTAACCTCAGTCCTGTGAAAAGTCATGATAAGGCATTTTGAAATGTTTAGGGACATAGTCATAACCATATACTTACTATAAAAACTAAATAAGACGTTACAGTTTAGTACGTGCGTCTAGATGGGTAGTATCCAAGCTCGAAAAACCATCTCTACACAGCTGAAAGACTATCCTAGAGCTCACAGAAGTCATTGATAAATGCGATGGCTGAATACAACTTTATGTCGTCTGTGAACATTGACATGGATGACTCTAGAGATGTCGTTACTGTAATGAATATATGAAATAGGACTGATATGTGAGTCCTATGGTACACCCGATGTGGCAGAGATCAATATAGAGGAACATGAAGTAAAATGCACCATCAGTTTCCGGTCACTGAGGTAAGATGAAAACCAATCTTAGCATGAGCTGACAGTTTAGCAAGCAAGTGAGGGGGCTGACCCTGTCAAAAGCATTGAAAAAGTCAAGAAATATCGTGTTCCCTGCATGAAATTGGGGAACGAAGAAATTATGTCGGAGTAAAACATGATCAAGTTTGTCATAGACGATCTACTCTGTGGAGTAGTGGGAAAATCTAAACAGGACTAGAATCTTGAAGACCTTCGACATCACCAACTGGATAGCAATTGGCCTGTAGTTGATCACCTCGGAGATCGAGCCAGATTTGTGTATTAGGACAAGTCAGCTCATCTAAAAATACGAGGTAAGAGAGAGAGTATTTCAGAATATTTGGAGGAATCGAGTCTGGCCCACAACTCAGTTGCACCAAGGCTCAGAAGTCTCTTAATCACTTCTTTCTCTGTAAAGACACAGGATGATATGACAGTGCATGAGTCTTGGTACCCAGGTTGGGAAGGTTGATGTTGGGAATCAGAAAAAACCTAGGAAAATAAGTCCGCAATTAATTCACATTTCTCCACATCGCTCGTCAGCTTCCATTTTTTACAGGGTTTTTTTCAATATACACGTTTTTATAACATGGACAAAGCTTGATGGGTAAGAGTCAACTTTAAAGGGATGCAATGAGAAGGTGGGTGGAGGACTATAGGACTATAGGGAGTGCGAAGTTCTAACCATTGAAGCTCCAGCATAATATTCTCAAGATTGCATTACCTGAAGTAAGTGACGAGTAAGGGTCTTGTACTTGAGGTATCAGCAGAGAGCAGGCAAATGCTAAGGGCTTGGCGATGACAGTCTTTAGTTATTAGTGTATCCATTTCCTGAAAACAACACGGCCAGGCTCGTGTAAAATTACATAAAGGATTACACTGTGTAAGTTCCTGGAATTGTTAGCTTGATTTAGATTATGAGATGAGACCAGGTCACCTAAGGTACTAGCAGTGCAGGGCCTTGAGGTGTTAAGAGGTAGATTGTCCTAGTCTACTGCAGGTTGGTTTCAATCGCCGATCAAGAGTATGTTGGTGTAGGAATCAAGAACAACATCCTCCTCGAATAGACCTCATAACGACGCACTAACTATGCTGTGCTAGTGTGTACTACTTAATTGTGGGAGTAAAACAAAAAAATTAAAACTTACAGTTCAGTACTTCTTGTGTTTTGAAAAAGTCTTTCTTCGTATCTTTACCGTCTTGGCTCGCTGTTTCGCTGCCATGGCCCTCAGCTTCCGTAAGCACATTATATCGGCAGCACACCTTCTAGAGAACTGACTTACTCCAGGGCTCCTAGCATCTTAACCCCTTCCGAGTGTGGAATGGAAGGCTTAGGCTCCGGTAGTAAAAGGTTCTGGCGCAAAACTACTGAACCGACTGGGGTTATATTTTACATTAATACAGCTACCATACTAAGAATGCTAATAGGACTATTCACACTTCGATTCTGACTGTGGGCCCTAACCCTTTGTCTTTAAAAGTTCTGAGGTGAGGATTTTAAAAGCATAATATTGATTGGTCTCCATCACAATGTTTACATTTGCTTTGGTAATTCAATGTAAACAAGAACAACTGCTAACTTGCGTATTTCAGACAGCTGATCCAAAAAATTAAATACATTACAACTATGTGGTAGTTTATCTTATACTAAATAACTTTTGCAAAGCTTATGACAGCTAGCCTGGCCAAACTACTGGACCGAATTATTACACGTGGTTGTACCAAATGATAGATAGTTTGCTGTAGATGTGCAGAATCCCTTTATAAATTAAAATGGGCAAAAAATAAGCAGAAAATGAATTAAAAATTGAAAAAAATATTACCTTATGGGATGCCATGTTGGGGACTAAATATCAACAAATATAAACAGAAATTAAAACAAAATGAAGAAATTCCAATCACATGTTTTATTTACAGCGCGGGGTGAAAATAGATAAGTTTGCAAGATACTTACTTTTGGCCGAGTTTTCGACCATGGGGCGAGCTCTCATTTAATCTAAAACTTTATTATTAGATTATTTATTCTAAAACTATGGTAATGGTTATAGAAATAAAAAAAAATCTATGACTCTACATAGAAACATAGAAGCTTTATAAATAATGAGTTTGCTGAATCAACTCTGGCTCTTCGATTTTATAAAGTCTCTAAGTTGATATAGTTTCATAGAAACAATATAAACATTACTATGTATAGATGTGTTGTTTTGTATGAATTTGGAGGCAATTTTTTTTTTTAAATTCGAACTACTTAACATGACGTGTTGAATTGACTAAACTTAACTTGCACTTCACACTGACTTTTTCTAAAATCAATTAGATATCTGTTACTATGTTTACCATTAGGTAAGTGTGAAAATATAAAGGTAATGGACTATGGAATTGATTAAAAGAACTGGTTTCTATATTATGTTGTTCGTTGATATTTTAGTAGAGTAGAATCAGAGATGCAATGAAACATATACTGCTACTGTATTTACTATCGCATTTTTAGTCCTTGATGTTTTGATAATGATATTAGTTTTATCCGTCGTCTTTAAATCAATTATTTACAACTATTTATAGTATATACAGGGTATAGGCAGTGAAACGGCACGATTATGAAAAATCACAAATAATTCTTTAGAAAAAAGGGATAGTTGCTTTGATATAAATCCTAAGTATGAGAGAAAATTAATGTTTCACTTAAAAAATTAATTAAATTTTTTCATACAATGTCAGTAGAATGGCGTACTTGGTTTTGCACACAATGTTGAATTATGAATTGAAATCAGCCTATGACATTTTTAAGCGTTTGCATAACGTCTGCAATAGTTTTACAGCGCTTTGTCGTGCCAGCAGTGGCTTGATAGTTCACCAAAAGGAGGGTAGCTTTCCTTGATGGCACGGGAGCCCGCGGAAAATGCGCTGAGCACAAACCATAATATCCACGTTTTTTGTAATATGCCTTTACAGCAAATGCGTGTTGTGCCCTCGTCTAACGTTCCCTGGCTACTGAAATTTCCACTTGTCTAGAAACCTATGGTAATTTCCCCCGTACTCTTATTATAGCTGTACCCCAATTCCTTGTCAGCTGGCTTTGGAATCGTCCCATTTCACTGCCTCACTCTTTACATAGTTTCCTTAATGATTTAATATACTCTTGATAAGGTACAACAATTTTTCTATAGCTTAAAACAGCTGATGTTAGTGTTACTAATGTTTTATTGTGAGTGGAAATGGAAGGATTTGTGATTTAATTGAAAAAGAATGACCTAAACAAGATTTTTCATTGAAATTTAATAACAATTAGTAGTTTTGAGACTTCAAATTAAAATTTATAGTGTCAAAAATAAAGAAAAACATGGGTAAAAAAAGGGAGATGAAGGTAAATTATGTGTGTGATTGTTATTCGAAAGTTTGGTAAGTTTTTTCATATCAGCCTACACAAGATTTAAAACTAATCAAAAACAAAATGGCGGTTTCCACTTTTTAACAGATTTAAAATCCATAAACGTTTCTATAAAGGCCATAAAGCTTAAATTTTCTTTATGAAAGCGTTGGCGGAGTGTAACTATTTTATACAACGGTTGTAAAGATCGAAATATTTATATTTTGTGTCCTCTTCCCGTTTCAAAGCACGGGTACTACAGCTAGTACTATCTTAATTTCGAATTGTTGTTGCATCATATAATTCAATACCGAATGTAGGCTAATATGTGAGTTTATGTGAGCACAGTAAACCTTCCGTAAAACATCCCACGAGCAGAGTTTAGACAAGCTGTGCAGAATAAATATACCTGAACAAATTTTAATCTTTAGATTATCAATGTGTTACAACCAAGATCAATTTTGATTAAAATGTTTACTAATATGAGGTTTTAAAGTATCTTTTATAACTGTTGAACGATTTATGTTATTGTTTTTTTACCGAGTTAAGCAGTGAGATTCTACAAGATATATATTTATCAATAGATTCAACGCTACTCAAAGGCATCAATAGGAGACTACGACGTTACTAAAAGTTGAGTCTTCCATCGTCAGTTTGTTGCAAAAGCATCTTAGACGAAGGATAAAAAGTATATTTTAGCACTTACAGCGTTAACTTTTGGGGGTTTTCAAGTTTTAAAATTCGTACAAAAATGTTGGTAAAGTAATAAACCCGCTAAAACATTCAAGGCTGATGGTTTGGTCGTAAAATTGGCTGTCAACTTTGAAGAGTTAATTGCCAGATGGTTTTGTGAAACTGTTCAGTTGGAGTCAGGTGAAGATGAAGTCATGATGAAGTCGCTGCTCCTGGTTTTATTGCTAAGACTACTTTCGTTAGGGGTAAGTTCTAATATTTAGGAAAATAAGTAGCTTAAAAAAATTTAATATATTAAAAATAAAAGTAGCAGGCCACAAAGTATTGATATTCTTTAACGAAGTTTAATAGTTAACACAAAATAAGATTGACCGATGTATATCTTACCAATTATGTTATATCGAATTTCCCATGGAGGGAATAGGTTTAACAGTAGGGTTTTTGGCGAGGCCTAGACCTGGGACCGGATTATCTTTTTTTCATTTTTATTACTCCAGAGTCCGAAAACCCAATTCGTTCACGTTCATATAGGGTAGATAGGGAGAAGGCTTTCCAAGCAAAAATGTTGGGTTCCAAAAATCAATGAGTAACCTCTGTGTTTGAAAAACAATGAATAAGTATTATGTCAGTGCCCCCCTCCCCCCAAAGAAAACTACTAGAAGATTCAATGAAATAGTCAGGTTGGGTAGCAGGAAAATACTGTATTTCAGTTCTGGCGGAGAGGCTGTAATTTTGGGTGGTTATGGTTAACAAGTTTCTGAAACTAAAACCGCCCAGACCCCAATTTTTAAGGACCTCGGTCGTCCGTAATGACGTCATCAAAATGGCGGCCGTAAGAGGATGCTGGGTCCCCATGAATTGGCTATAATGACAGAATGCCTGAACCGATTTTCATTAAATTTGGCACACAAGTGCTTGAATAAATTATCTCGGCCTGGGTTGAAAATGGTCAAGTTTCATCAAGTCATTTCAAAATGGCGGCTGTTCAAAACTAAAAAAAATATGAGGAAAATAATTGTGAATTGTTTTATACAGGGTGAGTTTTAAATGAGTTCCCACCCTCCTTTTTTATGCATTTCTTAAGATATCAACTCCGAACCACGTCAGATCATTGTAGAGTAGCAAGTACTTCATTTTGACTGGGTTTAAAATTTTTTGGCCGCCATCTTGGATCCGCCATACTGGGTACAAAGTTATTTTTTCAAACATAAAGGTAGGGTTGTGACCCATCGTTTCAAACAAAACTTTTACGCTGAATACGATGCTGCAATCGGTCTTATAAAATGTTGATCCATTCTAAAGTTATGAGAACTTATTATAACTTTATTTTTAGTCCATTATAACATTGTGCATTTACAAACTAAGGCCATAATCTCAAAATAGTGCTAGATAAAGATAAGTGGACACCACCATTCATTGTTGACCTATTTTCACTCGGTTATGACGGATGTATTTTTTTCAGCCGCCATCTTGGATCCGCCATTTTGAAATGTGATAAATTATTTAAAATATGAAGGTGGTGTTGTGACCCAGCATTTTGAACTACTTTTTTATGCTGAATTCAATGCCGCAATCCGTTTCTCATTGTCATGTTTGGTTTTTGAAATACTGACATTTTAAATACAAATAATTGTAATATTTTATCAAGAAAGGTTGATAACAAAAAACGGATAGAGTAATCTATCATCTAATTTGAGATTATGGCCTTAGTTTGTAAATGCACAATGTTATAATGGACTAAATATAAAGTTATAAAAAGTCTCATAACTTTAGAATGGATCAACAATTTTTTAAATGGATTGCAGCATCGTATAAAGCGTAATAGTCTTGTTTGAAACGGTGGGTCACAACCCTACCTTTACATTTGAAAAAATAACTTTGTATCCAATATGGTGGATCCAAGATGGCGGCCAAAAATTTAAACCCAGTCAAAATGAAGTACTTGCTACTCTACAATGATTTGACGTGGTTCGGAGTTGATATCTTAAGAAATGTATAAAAAAGTAGGTTGGGAACTCATTTAAAACTCACCCTGTATAAAACAGTTCACAATTAATTATTTTCCTCGTATTTTTAGCGAATTTCCCTATAGGGAAGTAACTATTACCGTAGGTGGCACGGTAAGACCTAGACCCGGGACCGATTTACTTTTTCATTTTGATGTCCCCAGAGGCCAAAAACACTATTCGTTCAAATTTTTATATATGTATATATATATATATATATACGTCCGTGAACGCGATAACTTGAGTAATTTTTGTCCGATTTTGATGAAATTTGGTTTAAAGGTGTAAAGCAGGATAAACTTGAATGAGTTCGCGAACCAGCACGATCGGACCATGGGAACGGGGCTTTATGGGGGGTTTTATGGGGTAAAAATTGGTTTTTCTCACTTTTGACCCTCAAAACACAAAATTTCCCAATTTCTCTTTAGACCTTTTTAAAGAGCTTAAAAAAACAAATAATTTAGTATATAAAAGTATTTTTGTTCGATTATTAGCACCGGAGAAAATTAAAAAAAATTGTAAATTTAAAATTCCCATGTTATTCTTATGGAGAATATTGTCAAATGTTGTAGTTTGCTTGTTTATGAATATATTTTGATCAAACTTGGCAAATTTATTTATTTTGTACTAAGCTATCAATATTTTACTCAAAAACACACTTTATTAGTTTCGTTGTAGCAGCAAACCTAGGTACTCGTTAAACCTAATGTTATTAAAATATATTTAACTGAAAATCAATTCAGACAAATGGAAATTCGCTTAGTCGGCAGGTTTGCTGTGGCGGGGGTATTTTTAGTTTTGAACAGCCGCCATTTTGAAATGACTCTGATGAAACTTGACCGTTTTCAATCCAGGCCGAGATAATGTATTCAAGCACTTGTGTGCCAAATTTCATGAAAATCGGTTCAGGCATTCGGTCGTTATAGCCAATTCATGGGGACCCAGCATCCTCGTACGGCCGCCATTTTTATGACGTCATTACGGACGACCGAGGTCCTTAAAAATTGGGGTCTGGGCGGTTTTAGGTTCAGAAACTTGTATACTATAACCACCTAAAATTGCAGCCTCTCCGCCAGAACTGAAATATTCTGCCACTATATGCTGCTATACGACCCCACTAAAAGAATTATCACATTAGAAAGTCTGTTAAAATATCCAAAATATTACTGCTGAATAGATAGATACATCCTATAATCTGAAACAAGCGCATGTACAGAGACAATTTTTTCTGTCCGAGGATTTATTTTTTATTTAATACGGGTTACAGCATTTGGCCACGATAAATCAATTGGAGTTGGACACAATGCTGGGAAAAACTCAGTTTCCGTCCTACAGCCCTTAAAAGTGTCCATTATCCTCAGTACCCTTTTGTAGCTGAAGTTAACAATAACAGCTGATACAGATTATTATTACTGTAATCACGTATTAACAAAAATAACTGTATTGGTTAGCTTGGACTACACTTTTTTAAAGAATAGTTATTTTTTAAGTTTGGTTTATATATATTTATATTATACATAATATATAATATATTTAGGCCCTATATGTATATATTACTCTTAAATGTTTTCAAGGTTTATTTAAAAGAATTTAAGACGCAGAAGACCTAAAAACTAATATTTATAATACGAAAGGGAAAGAAGCTACAATGAATCGTCAGAAAGCTAATTTCGCCTAATTTCGCTAATTTTTTTGTCGGTATTAAATGTATCTCATATCGCCAAATGTCTCAAAACATGTCGCGCATCGAAGACTGAAAGGAGAGAAATAATTTAAGATCCTATATCCGTGCAAAATAATGAACAACATGCCGATTATCTTCAGCAGGAGTGTCGACAAACTGCTGCTTAACGTTTTAAAGAAAATTAGCTGGCTGAAATTTCTAAACCTATGAGTATATTGAGATTGAAGAAGCATTTGGCACCCAAATTGTGACCTGACATTTCGAAGATTTGAAATACCGTACAATCCTTGATCTACTTAACTCTGGAATAAGAGCCAAGGACAAACTCCGAAATTCGTCGGTGTGATCCTGCTCTGGGGATCTACCAAACCAAACCTCTAAAGTCGCCATGTCAGCAGATTTTGGATATTTACAATAGGAACCGTTTGACGTGGCATGAATGCACACGACGTGAGTCCGAACTGATTTCTGTTTATATAAGAGTACAGTTATGAATATTAAAAGGAAACGTCATTACTCAAAGTGCGGTACTGCAAATAACTAAATGCTATAATCTATGAAACGCGTGTAATTAAACACACATTACATAGATGTTATTTTAGCGATTAAATGTTTTTGGTTTGTAATAAAAATATTTTTTCCTACAATCACCCGACAAAGTTGGCTTCCTTGTATTGTTTATAGTACAGAAACCTGCTAATTTCTGCATATTTATACTTCATCGTAAGGTTTATTTTTTGTCGTACGGTTTCATCAGGATTCCAACGAAACAACACAAAACAGCGTGGTTCTATTATGCACGTAATACGTGTACGCTTGGAAATAGGTTGGCAACACTTAAAGATAATAATACTATGAGCAGCTGATTGACTATTATAACTACGATTTAAACTGGTATTTCGTGTTTATAATTTCGGTATTTCTGAACTTTCTGGACTTTTCTTTTAAACGTTTTTAAAACATTCCTACGATCTTAATAAACAAGGAAATACCTTTAAAGCATTTTTTTTAGGCGCGGAAACCACTTCAAATTACAAAAACATACGGAACTATATTCTCAAGTCGCGGAGCACATTTCTTGCCGAAGAAAAATAGCGGAGTGATACGGACCAGGTACTACTATCTCTAGGGCACCTATTTGTGTTGAAAGCTGGCAACACAGCTGTAAGCATTGCTCTCGTGTGCAGCAAAGTGCCACTTTGCCCACTAGTTACACAAATAACTATTTCCTACAGTCGGACAAGGTGGGCTTCCTTGCACGGATTATAGTACAGAGAGCTTTACTTTAGCGCATAGTTTTTAATTTGGCGCACACCAGTATTTCAACCAAACAACACAAAACAGCGTACTTTTATTATGCACGTAATCCGTGGGCGCTTGAAAATAAGTAGGCAACACTTAAAAATATATTTCGAAAACATTATACACTAGCCTACGGCTCGTGCATAAACATTTCTCGCGTGTGCAGCAAAGTGCTACTTCGCTCACTAGTTACACAAATAACTATTGTAAATGAACCAATATTTTAGACTGACAGGATAACACTTTTGGTTAATTACACCAAACTAGTATCTACGATATTAGTTTATTAATTTGGTTACTACTGTATCACAAACATGTAATAGTTAGCTTTAGTCAAGGGTTACCGGGGAAACCCCAAGAGTTTTAGGATGTAGTGTTGGTTTATAAACTACGGTTTACCGTAATGAAAACCGGCATCAAACTTGTAGGGAAAAAATGTAACAGAAATCACGTGGTATTGAATTGATGAACTGTTAAATTTCTTGTCAATCCAAGTAATTAACTAGTCCATAAAATTATCATTGTCAAGATTTCAGAATTCAAAGTAAGGCAGTTATTAATTTAATTCCTATCAATGCATCTGATAATCTCAGGTAGTGTGTGCATGTTGTAAATTAGTTAATAGAGCTCATCAAAGCTGGCTTATGGGTGTTCACGGCAACGGACACGATAAGTCCAAGTCTTTGCATCCTGAGCTGTGAGTATGCAATTAGTGATAATTATTTTAATAGTAGCCCAAGTTTAAACAATTATTGGTACTTACGTATTATACGGAGGCCACTTATTTTACAGCGCGCTACGGCGGTTAGGTTAGGTTGGGTTATCATAAGTTTTTATGACTCATCTCGTATAGTTCGATTCATAACGAAACTAGGAAAGTTCTACAAACATATTTATGATAACCCAACTTAACCCAACCGCCGCAGCGCGCTGTAAAATCAGTGGCCTCCGTATAATACGTAAGTACCCAATTATTTTTAAGTTCAAATATAATTTATGTTAATGTAAAGCAAATGTTGAGAGTTGTAAATTTATTGTTGTTTTAGGCTTGGGCTGAAGGAAATTGCAACGAACTTATTACTGGTGAGTTTTTTTTTTAGATATAACGAATATAATAAAATCCGTCTCTTCTTGTATTGACAAAAGGAGAATGTATTGTATCTAGATATTTGATCATGGTAGTTTGTAATATTTCAAATAAAATTACGACCAAATAATTAAAAAAGAAGTAATTTATTGAGTTGAGTAAAGCAAAGGTCATTGGGATCGACTTTAATGCAAACTTTCTAACACATTAACTCAATAAAGGCTGAACATATATCCTAGTCAAACTTACTAAAGTAGGTAGGATAAAATTAAAATACGTTTCGTCTAAACCTTCCAAATATTTGACAAAACAACCTTGGTAAGTAGATGGAATATAGCAGAGACCACACTTGGAGCAGTTTTTCCCCATAAGAATAACATGGGGATAATGTTTAACACTTTTTTAAAGATTCCTGATCTTTTCCTTATATTTATTTCTCTATTTATATAAAACAAATTCGTGTTAGTTACACCACTTATAACTCAAGAACGACGTTCGCTGGATTCGTCTTTGTCTCGATTAACATATAGGCATATTCATTTTCACATTTAACCTTAGGGCTTAGCCCTACTGGACTGTAAAGTTTGTATGTTTAGCTTATGGAGCTATTGGAAGAATGTAAATAAACAAATTAAACAAAGTCAGCTGTATATACAATTTGACAGTTCAAAGAGCAGATGTTAAGAGGTACAGATTCTGCTCCCAAAATTCTTAAGTTTTAATGGTTCTATGAATATGAGAATACGGTAGGTTTATTGGTATATATTTATGGAAGCAGATGGAACATTACAATGTATACATGTTTTGTAATTATTATGGTACCGGTACCTATTTTTAAAAAAATTGAACTGATTTACACGTTATGTTTGGATTAAAATTTTAACTAGATGGTTGTTTTAAAACTAAATGAAAAAAATTATATTTTAAACATTTAGGCTAGGTGACTGACTATTGATACTATTATTTGTTTTTATCCAATTTACAAACTAAATTTCAATTATACTGCCATTTTTTGTCCATACTTATATTTTCTTCTATTATTTACTTCGGATACTAAAAAAACTTGAACTTGAAATGTATGCTATATTGTAAAATCTAAAGCCTTTTTGAACTGTAATTCACGAGTGGTTTAGATTAGACGCCCTGATGAAATGAATTAAAATGAAATGAAAAACAAGTCTTTAGCTTAAAACTCAGATATTTCTAACAATTTTGAGGAAATCATAGGAGCTGTTTTTGAAATCTTTGTGCGCAAACGTTACTCATAGTATAGAATAGATACAATGAATTAAAGAACGAGTAAAAATAAGAACTGGTATGTATTATAATTATTATGTTGTTGATTTCTTATATTACTTTCATTCTCAAAACTCATTATTAGTTATTATTAATAATATTATTATTATTTGTGCAGTATTATACAATTTGATAAAATTTGTACCCTGATTTACGATAATAAGGGTTGTCTTTCTTAAAATGTGTAGTACAAGTTTTCCATTTTTTTTTTTATTTTGCTTACAGTACTGTGATTGTTACATAATGAGCTGCAGGTAATGATTCCATACAAAGGTTCAGTAGGTAGGGTACAACTAGGCCTATCTATTTTATATGAAATCATTATAAATTGTTTTTCCCCTTCAATACAGTCCCCTATGTTGTGCAATTATTTTGTTACCGTTAACTTTTAATATGTGAGTTGTTTAAACTTAAAAGTAAACTTTTATTTGAAAATAAAATCATATGTTACAGAATGTTCATACATGCATCAGTGCCTCATATAGTTTTTACTAGGAAGCCTATAAGTTAGACCAGCTTGAAAGATAGATATTTTTACAAACTAAAAGGTTCAATGAATTTTTGTTCCTGAAATCAAAGGTGGATGTGTAACTATTTTATACAACAGATTTAAACATCAATACTTTCTCTTAACATCCTCCTTGTTGCGAATCACTGTTACAGCAGCTAGTCCCCATATAAATGTTCAACCCTATAAATATTTTCGATCTTCACATATCTCCTATATTTTCAAAACCAATCTAAACAAGCTAATTCTTACATTTTTGACACATGCAGGAGTATATGAAGAAAATTAGGGGGAATAGGAGAAAATGACGTCTATGGGGACGTTTTATCCCATTAAAATAACATTGTGGGTAATTTTTAGCCACTTAAAAAAATCCTGCCCACGGCATATACATCCCCATTCAAATGTTCCATTCTATTTTCCAGCTGTAAAAACATTTCAAACCCATATCAATATTCGTATAAATTTTCAAAATCACCGGCTTGACTACGAGATTTGCACGAGAACTCGGGCGCGCTCCCGATTTGTTAATAGGATCTTTTTTCAATTCTATTACGCTATTACTCTGAACAAAATCGTTGACCTTGGTATTATAATTAGCTATGAACATTAATATTGCTATATTGCCCTTATCAGTTTTGCATAACAAGACGTTGTTTATACATAATTTCTCTTCGATACAACTTAGAGATAATGTCTCCTTCTTATGTATATTAACCGAGTGCGAGATTGATTTTGCATTCTCATGTATACCATATTGTATACCATTTTTTAGTCACTATGAGACGAGCGGAATTGCGGCTATCTTCATCTGGAATGGCTTTAATTGCACATTCACCATTTTGTTTCTAACCTTTATTTGGACATAGTTAGGTTTTATTCCATAACGAAGGCAGTCCTTATTAAACTTTATGTTCGGAATCGTGTTTTGTAGCTTCAGTTTGATGTTATTGTATTGTGTGGCTAATGTTTCTTGTCTAGCATATGAATCAATAGACATTCCACCATGAATAGACATGATTTAGCCCCTGAGATAAATTGATGACTATAATAATAATAATACAATTACCTCGTCACAGCTCTGAAGTTTTCGTATATTACGGCCGTTTTGACATTAAATGCTATCCTCAGATATATATATCCACCAGATATGGCGTCGTCAAACTTTACACACACAAGAAACACGGTAAAAACATTAAAAAAATATAAAACAAGAGACATCGCCTGTCGCGCAGTAGATGACTGATGAGAACGGAAGCTGACTGGACAACTGCTAGTTCGTTCCAGCATGTTCCAGTCATGGCGGTCCGATAGATTCTAAATATAAACAAACTTAACTTTTAAATGGTAAAGTAAAACAGCTGATTGCACGCAATAAGTTTTTGGTTATGTATTAACAGGGCATATAACAAAAACTAATTTCGTGAACATTTTCAGATAAAACAATTTCACTCAAAGGATTTGAAGATGTCAACACGAAAGAAGATTTCAAGATCTTTTCAAATAATATGAATGATGATCCCTACATACTATACCAGTTTACACGTTTCATTGCCATCGTATCAACTAAAAAAGGTCATATCGTTACCGTTAATAAAAGATTGGATATAAAATCAGAATTTTACGCTTTCCTCAATGCACAAAATGACAAAGAATATTTGTCTATTGGAGTCTTGAATGGCAATGGATGGTGTAGATATGATATCTGTACAAGTTGCGATGTACAAGATCGGAAACCAATTATAAACCCGGATACTAGACCAAACGTCGGGTTCTTCAGTTGGTCTAAGGTAGGTGGACCATTTACTATGGTAGATAATACTATAGGTTAGGTGACTTCTGGTCTACCCTCATGCCTAACCCGAATCTAAACGAATCTAAGTATTTGGCTGCATTGGAAAATAGCTTCTAACTAATCATTTTAACATTTTAACTGATTTATATCATCAGCAGATGTTTTACAGGTATATTGCTAAACACACAATCTCAATATTCAATGTAAGTTTGGTATATTACAGCTATGTATAAACAAGCTAAGCGCAAACATTTTTCTAATTTATTGATGGGTTGATAAATTAGTTTCACTCGCAATTGATTACCAAAGTACGAACATTCCTCTTTTCAGGTTTACATGATTTGCTATTGTTTATATTTGGCCTCTATAAGAATGACAAGGGAATGGATTATGGCATGCACACAAACAGAAACACTACAAGCTGGTGGAGCTAACAAAAGACCTTCAATACCTTATAGGTATAGAGCACGAAACTTTGGCCCCGAGTTTCCTGGTTCAAACTCAGACACCCTCCAATGGTTTTAGTAATACAATTATGCCTCGATTCTCTTGACCAGCCTAAGGCAATGTGTAACATTTGTTGCTGTCCAAAGCCTGACGTTAACGGATTTGAAGAGTAAACATAACATCTACGGAAACTGGGGTTTCATGTTTCCACTTAATTAACAGAGCTTACAAGTCCGTATTCAGTAGCACAGAGAGTGACGATTGACATCTAAAATACCTGGTCTTTTCGAATGGCCACATATATCCCATGAATTTCAATTCTAATATCCACATCTCCCATGGCTCCTCAATCTCTGCAATTCCTTTTCATCCAAATTTATCAAAACAAAATACTAATAACATAAATTGTTAATTTTATCTCTGTGGAATAGTAGAAAGCAGAAAAGTATATCCTTATTTTAAGTGATGTTGAAGTAACTTTAATTGTTTCAGCAGTCAAACTCCGTTGCTCCTGGTTATATAACAGGTGAGTTGATATATTACAAAGTGGTTTTGCATGAATGAGATTTTTTTTACAAGTATTTTGCTTACAATATATTCTATAGAACAATAATTAAATTTCATGACAATTTTAACATGGGTTAGGCACACTCCATCAAGTGCACTAACATACAAAACTTATACAATTTTTTAACTAAAAACGATTTGGGAGGTCTATTGGATTAACTTTGAGCGTATATGTAGCTTCACTATTATCGAGGAGGTTAACTGCCAGGAAATTTGGATGGCTTTCTAATTTTTTTTTTTATTTTTAGCTTAGTTTTTTTTCTTCGCTAATATAGGGTAATTTTGTGTCTTGATGAATAACTTTATTTGTGACAAACTTAGGTGCTTATGACATTTTTCTTAGTGTTTTGGAGAGTCAAGAGCTTGGGTCTGCACCAGGTAGCAGTTGGAGATTTTCCGCAGTTAGAACCCCACCTGTTGCTTAACTCATTAAAGAGTTAGGATCGGAGGGGGTTCTCTAGGCAAAGACTAGAGACTAGTTTGGGGGATACGTCTTTGTACAAAACTCACTTCTTTGTTTTACTCATGGGACGTAAGATCTTAAGAAAATAATTATTTGCAATTATTTAACTACTACAGATAATTACATGACTGGGTAGCTGATTGGTTATAGAGCACGCCTGGTAATCGAAATGTCACCGGTTCGATCCTGAGAAACTTAGTAACTTTTAGATGTTTCGAAAATAAACCCAGCTGTCCTGATCACTGGGCGTAAAATAAATGATCCTGGCTAATCAAACAGCTGATCTTAGTCAGTAACAAAACTATCACACATATAATCTTACACCAATCTACTCCCATCCATGACTCATATCCATATACAGTATGGATCTCAAAGTAACCATGGACTTTTGAGAAAACTAAAAGTCATACCCCCATAAACCATATACTTAAAATGTTCGTAATGACGTTAACTTTGCGCAAAATTATCCATTATTTCATAAATTGCCCTTTAATTTAGTAATTCCTTTCTAAAGGGAACTTTTCATATACCTAAGGTTAAAAATACCTCAGCTGCACAAATGTCTTTATATTATTCTTTCAATTTATTACCTTATTAAAATCAGGTGTGATTATTTGTTTGTACTACTGTATTATGTTTTGTTTATTTCTTCAGCTTAACTTAACCAATCAATAGTTTTATTAATAATCATGAAGTCAAACGGGGTAAAGTCCCTGGGTAACAGTTAGTTTGGGTTAAATACGAATCTAAATTATGTTCCCATCTCAATGGTTGATACTGTAATGGTTTGATTATAAATAGTTATTTTTCTTCAGTTCTTATTGTTGTATTGTATTGCAGGCTCATTTGTAATATATATTTTTTGTTAAAAGCAAAAACTTAATGTATTTTGAAAGATGATATAGTAACCTAAAAAAATTTGGGTGTCATTTTTTTCAATCCAAGATGGCGTACAAAATGTCCACTGTTAGGTATCATTTTTAGGTTTTCCTAAATCCCTCTAAAACTATCAGATTGGTGTATACTATACTAAATTAGGAAATTAAAGAAGATTACATTTAGTACAAGAACAGTACATTACATATTTTTTTGTTCAACCATTTACAATATATAATAAATATCTCATGGAAACAATCCTTCCATAAGAAATGCATGTAAATTTTAATTTGAAATAAATGATAAACATGGCACTTAAAAAACAACATATTTGCGTGGAGGAACAACAAACCGGAAAGATTAAATGTCGCACAGCACCTGTTACAAAATGGCTATTTAACAGGATAAATAGAGGATAGTCTATGTATTTTAAGAATTTTAAAAGAATATATAGGAAATGCTAGGGAAAAATTGAAATGAAATTAAAAATTCTTTATTTTACCAGGCAAAGTTAAGGCCACATGGCCTTCTCTTACACTTAACCTGACAAACTTAAATATAAATAATTATTAAAAATACAATGAAAATTATTAATCTAATATAAATATATATATATATTTAACACTTCAAGAACACATTAAACAAAAATTCGATTTAAAAATAGTAATTATTATAAATAGAATATACAAAAGAAATCACGTCCACACTCTCACACGCATACGCACCAGCAATCGCGCAAAGACGCAGAATTGCATATACTTATAAGGGAAATGTAAAAATGGAAATAAGCGGATAGAGTAAATATCGACTCCAGTTGTACGAAATGTATTGGCCGGTATGATGATTGGGGGCCCAATCGATATCGATCACCACGTACCATCTCTTATGAATATTTACCGTCCTGTGTGTAAACAGTATAAGTGTAAATATGTTTTAATATTAGACGTATCTTTTATTTCCTTTCCGTCAATTCAACCCAGAATGAATAACGTATCTTCTTTTAGTGTGTTTAGTGTGTGTACTGAGTTAAATCAAACTTGTTTTTTCAGATGATGAAACGACTGGAATAATTGCAGAGTACGTGAGCGTTGGGAGGCCAAAAATTGTGTTGAGCTGTTACGAAAATTCGCTTAGTCTGCGAACTCCAATAGGACACCGTATAACTACAATCAATACCAGATGTTCCGAAAACTTCATGCAAACACTTACCATTATGACACTAAAACAAAACTTATCTCCTCAGGAGATTTTTCAACTCGGTGTAGAAGGGGAGCATCAGGATTTGTCTTGGATTTACAAAAACAACGATTTTGGCACGGTTGTGTCTTATTTTATGGCAAAGCATCCATCAAGAAACTGTTACTGGAAGAGGGTGAGTCTTTAATTTGTTGGAGAAGAATGGATTTATGAGAATTATGACAATACTGTAGGCTACAATAAAAAATGCATTTTGTGTAGTTTATGTACTATTGTAACTTAGATATTATTGTTCAATGTTAAATTACTCCTAATGTGAAAGTATTAACTTTTTAATGGCTTAGTCTGAGTTCATGAGTATCTCTACGATTTAAACTCATATATTATACCACCACTTTACTCACTAATATTATTGGTACAGATTAAACACACAACCTTAGAAACACACACATAACATAAGGAACACACTTTAAATACAAAATACAAATTGTGAACAACAACATGCAAACAAAGAACAATTAATAAAATAACAATACAACATTCAGCTGTTAAATTATCAACACTTTTTTATATGATTAGATGATGCATACCGGCACAACTAGTGCCACAAATCATAAAAAAATCTAATTTTCATTATTATTTGCAAATCTACATGGATAAAGCTTTTCATTGGCATATTATTAGATAAAATTTGTCAAGTAGAACTGTAGATTTAATTCTACAAAGTTTAACAAAATATCTCTAATTCAGTATTTTCTAACAACTATAAATTAGGAGGTTGCTTAGCCCTTTTACAAATAAATTTTAAATGGTGAGGAAATCAACCTAAGCTGAAAGTGATATTCAGAAAGAAAATAATATTTCCTACAAATTAATCCTATGTATTTCTTGAAAATATGCAATAAAGGCAGTTTAAAGCTGGCCACAAATAGAAGCTTGGAAATAGAAACTTGAATAAAGCCGTTTTAATATATTTTTTATTTTTATTTTTACTTTCTCACTACAGATGTTTAAGAAAATCAAAATTGAAAATCTACATGAACTAGGAGTTAGTTTTAACACCGCACTAATTGACAAAATTGATACAGTAGAACAAACTGTAGTTTTAGTTATATACAAAATTTGACAAAAATATCTCAAGCTCAGTATATTCTCCCCACTATAAATTCGGAGGTTGTTTAGCTATTGTGTAAATCACTTTTAAACTTTTTTTGGTGAGGAAATCGAGCTAAGCGGGTAAAATTATGAAAGAAAATACGATTCCTACAAATTAGTACTACGCATTTCTTATATTGCCAAAAAAGGCAGTTATAATTTGCCTCCAAATACAAAATAGGAAAAACACAGTATTCAATGTATTTCTTATGGAAAACATGTTTTATTTTTAATTTTAACCATAAATCATAACAAAAGCAAACTTTTTCATAATTATTTGAAAATCTATTTAAATTAAGCTTTCCAAAGACCCATGATTTAATAACAACGGTACAGTAGAAGTATAGATTTAGTTGTACAAAGTTTAACAAAAATATCTTTATTGTAATTCAGTATTTTCTCAGCCCCATAAATTCGGAGGTTGTTTAGCTCTTTTGCGAACAGCTTTAAAATTGTAAGGAAATCGACCTAAGTTGAAGGTGATATTCTGAAAGAGAATAACATTTTATACAATTCACTATACTGTATCTATTGAAAATAGGCAATAAAGGCATTCTAAGTTGGCTACAAATAGAAACTTTGTAATAAGATCTTGGAAAAGCAGTTTTTAATGTATTCTTGTTTTTGTGTTTTTCAACTCAAATCTTATTCAAATAAAACTTTCATAACTATTTGTAAATTTACACGAATTAGGCTTTCTAACAACCCATTGATCAACATAATCGGTCCAGTAGAAGTCTAGATTTTGTTGTACATATCTGTAAATATCTCTATTTCAGTATTTTCTAAAATCTATAAACTTGGAATCGCTTGGCCTATTTGACAATAAGGTTTAAATTGTCAGAAAATCTACAAAAGTGGTTGCGATATTTTGAATGAGGATAAAATTTCCTACAAATTACTACTATGTATTTCGTGAAAATACCTTATAAAGGCATCCAAAAGTTGGTTACAAATTGAATTTAAAAAACAGAAACTTGAAAAGCGTTTGGGATGCTTGTAAAAATTGGGATTTTTGATCCTCAAAACACAAAGTTTCCCTACTTCTCTCTAGACCCTTTTAAAGAGCTCAAAAACAAATTATTTATTATAACAAAGTTTCTTTGTACGGTTATTGGTAACGGAGAAAATTAAAAAAAATTAAATTAAAAATTCCCATGTTATTCTTATGGAGAATATTTTACAATGTAGTTTGTTCATTTTTAGATATATTTTGATCTGGAAAATTTATTTATTTTATACTAAGCTATTATATCTTACTAAAAATACACTTTATTAGTTTCCTTGTAGCTTCAAACCTAGGTATACTAGTTAAACCTCATGTTATTAAAATATAATTAATTAAAAATCAATTTGTCAAAATCACGATCTCGGTTTTGATCAAAGCAAGCGAGAGACCGTGGTCTGCCATCCATGCGCTTAAGGTATACATAACTCGGTTTAACTTTAGCTGAGCCAGCTCAACGCTGCGTGCAGCTATCAAAGCTGCAACGTCGTCTGCGCACCCAACCAAAACAGTTTCCTCACGCATTTCAGACCTCAAAAGGCTGTCATAAGCGACATTTCAGAAGTCTGGGCCGAGTATGGAACCTTGGGCAGCACCGGAAGTGACACTCATAGTCAGTGGGCCTTCTGTAGTGTCATACATGAGTAGGTGGAACCGGTGATAATCCTCTATGATACACATGAGGTATGCCGGAACGTGGAAGGTGTTCTCCAGAGCGTCCAGCGTAATCACGCCACCTTGCGGTATTAAATGCATTTCGCACATCGAGCGTTACGAGCAGCACAACCCTACGAGAGTAGTGATTAAAATCCTCAGCTCTCATCATGGCTTAGTCCACTTCCTCAATCGCTTCAACCATTGATCGCCCCATCCTGACAAGAGGAGAGGTCCCCTGTAGTGAAAACGGCTGCATTCAGCCGGTAACAGACCAATTTCTCGAGACATTTGCCAGCCGTGTCCAACATACACAGAGGTCTGTAAGAGGATGGCAGGTCTGGGTCTCCCTTGCCCTTTCCAACAAGCACAAGCCTAGCTGTTTTCTAGCACGAGGGAAAACCCCTTCGACCAGGCAGGTGATGTACATGCTTAAAAGGATCAAGGGGTTGGTAGTCAAAACCTTTTTGAGGACTTCGCCGGGTACCAAATCGGATACAGAACTCTAAAACTTATTGTTCTTCAGGGATAGGACGGCCGCCTCCAGCTCTTCAAGGATGAAAAGTGGGGCGTCGTCCGCCCTTCCAAAATCCCGCAGTAGGTGAAACGTTTAGTGTGGCCTTGGTTTACTCCGATGAATGGCTCGACGAAGACACCTTCTAGCCACCCTATAAGCATCCGACTCACGACGTATGTCTTAGGGTTCTCTAGCCCTGGTAGCAAGTTTAGTCTTCTGGCTCTCAATGCTGCTCGATGCAATTCCGCAATCTTGGCTGTACACCAATTCCCCGGGTGCTTATTGCACCGGTATCTCCTGCGAGGCATAGACTCATCGCAGGCTGAGACAATCAGTCCTATCGTGGATTTAACCAACGCGTCTGCTTGAGCCACGCCAGTTGCGGGATGAACCACCGGCGTTCTTCGTAGGATGGCTCCGTTGAATTTTGCCACGTCCAGTATTTTTATGTTCCATCGAACGGGCACTTGACGTAACGTGGCTACTTGTCTCTGATGACCATCCAGGATGTCAACAATTATGTACTGGTGGTCACTGGCCGTGTAATCCTCCAGGACTCTCCAGGCTCTGATCCTTGGTAAAAGGGACTCAAATGCAATGGTAATGTTCCTGCAGGTCCCCACATCCCAAGATGGCGGAAAGTTGGCGTGTTACCCTAGTTGATGACTACGATTCCGGCTCTGGCAGCAAAGTCCAGAATGTACTTACCGCGGGAGTTGGTGAAGGCCGTTCCCTACACGACAGCCCTAGCATTTAAGTCCACACCTACGACGAGAAAACTGGTTGTATCATACAACGCTCTCTTCCAGGTGGTCTATATTCTCTCGAAAGTCACGGATGGCCTCGTTGGGAGTAAGGTAGACACAGAAGTAAGTGACATCCCTGCACCGAACCCAAACGAAACCTCGGCCATTCTTGTGACCCCGTACTTGAACATATATATTTTTTTAAGAAATCTTTATTGTTTTTTCCATACAACAAACAGACACAAAAACACATTTACACATAAAAAAAAGAAATATATTTGCATTACGAGCCCAGAATGCAGCAGTACCAAAACTATCAGGGAACAAAAGGATGGGTCCCTATCTCGATACTGGTACTGTTCGCTGACGTCGACATTGTGTTCGAGGGCAAACTGACAGAGAAGTGCGTCATCCGTCCTGGATCGCTCTAGATTGCACTGAAGGATTCTTATCTTCCTAGTTCCTGGGAGTGATTTAGTTTGCTGTAGTACAGCTTTAAATACACTACACTGCTTAGACCCAGCTATATGCTTTAAGTTTTTGTCAGCGAGTCCATTTTCTTTGCAAGTGAAACAGGAATCTACTTGGCAGTCCTTACGGATTTGTCCAACTCCCCCACATCAAAGGCAGTTATTGCTTTGGTCGCGGCCAAACACCCCTTTAACACCTTTAAACACCCCTTCACTTCCACCCTCCGTCTGAGCCTGAAGTTGACCCAGCTGACTCTCAGATGCTGGAGTGCCAACACCTTGATGGCGTGTGCGTCTGCCATTTCGACGACTTCCATCCGCTGCTGACACCTATCTACTGGGTTTTGTGGGTCACACCCTTAGAATGGCCGTTTGCCCGGTAAGCTCGGGTACAGCTTTCCTCAAGGCCTCAACAACGACACTCTCCGTCAACACACAACCAATGTCTCGAACCTCGACTGATGTCTTTGGCTCAAGAGCGCGGACGATGTCCTAGCCTTAAACAGCTGCCTTCAGTTCGGCAGTAAAAGCATCCTTGTCTTTTGAGTTACCCAGTTCAAGGAGAACGTCCCCGTCCCGGGTTTGTCTAATCGATCATACAACCGTATCGGCCTGCTCCGGCTATTTAAGCTCATGTACTGTTACTTACAAGGCGGTAAATATTCATTAAAGATGTTAAGTCGTGGTCGATTTAGATTGGACAATCCAATCATCATATGCGAAAGACACAATAGACACAATAGCCAGACACAATAGGCGAATAAACCTCTTTGTAATTCTCTTTCTTTCTCAAATTGTAGGCTATATGTATAAAGACAAATAAAAAAAATGAACTAAGCTGATTAATGAACAAGTACATTTCAACTGCAGTTGTACTGATAAAAGATGTATTGGCCGGTACTTCCGGTAGATAATAGGATATAAGTAGGGAGGCCATTCAAGACTCTTGTCATTTGCCTATTGGGTCTGATGATGATTGGAGTGCCAAATCGAAATCGATCACCACTTACAAATTTTTGTTAATATTTTGCATCCATTTGTTTCAGATCCCTAACGAAACTCCTAACACCTGTCCATTTCTAAAAAGTAAGTTAAAGAGAGGAATTTTGAGTGTTTTCTTTTTACATAAACAATTAATTATACATGAGAATCTGTATTCTTAACCTTAATTTTAGTAAGCAGGGTTTATGTAATTTGAATAATTACAAAAATATGTATCCAATGTAAAATAATTTATTAAACTTATGATGACAAGAACTTCCGATGACAAGACATTTGGAATCGTCAAAATGTTCAAAACCAATTTTGCAATTGACAATCCACCCTAGGATCTGGGTAGAATGGTGAGAGAGCCACTTCAACTTTGGAGCTTTTGTTGCCGGTGATATTTCGGGTGATTGTTTTTTAAATGTATGAGATTGACCCTGCTTATTACCAAGAATATCGTAGTAATATTTTTCGATAGACTGGGTATAGCCTATACCATAGACGAATATACCGACGGCCGTGCTGCGGTTAGCATTAGTTCTGGCGTCCACTGCTTGGAGCGCCATCTAGTAACGGAAATAAATCCACAGGGTCCCCACAATTACCATTTAGTGTTAAATAAATCTGAATGAATACAGTCCAATTATTCAGACAAAGACAGCGACACACAAACTTGAATGTAGTGTTTTAACTGAATATGAATCCTCTGCGTAGAGTAAAGATTATACTGTATGTATATAACTGACTAAGACCAGCAGTCTTAGCCAGAACTGTCAAAATAAACCCAGTTGGCTTTTGATGTTTAACTTTTAAACTATGCCAAGTCTAAAAAAACCTTAAAACACTATTAGCCAACTACTACTACTATTTAAACTACTTTTTAACTACTATTTAAACCAACGTATTATTTTTACAGTGGCAGACATGGATCAGGCGCATATGGATTACATCAATAATCTGCCAAAAAACACCCTGACATTAGTGAAAGTATGGATGTTACCGTCTAATTTAGTTCTCGAATGCTACAAAGAGAACGGACAGAGAGATTCAACATTTTACTCAGTGTTTTCCGAAGCAGGAGAAACTCACGTTGTTACTATTAAAATGTTTGATTGTTCATCAGCAGAGAATTTTGCCAAAACTTTGGTTGTTGAAAGAATCAACTTTGGTGGTGAGAATTTGGTGACTATAGTAGGAAGTCGAAAATCGGAAAATGATGACTGGTGTTCGTATAGTATTACACAAAAAAGAGACAGCAAGGGAAAAGCTGTATTGAATAGATTTAATGCTTGGGTATACTACGATTACAAGCCTAAGGATGGTCATTGGAATGAGGTAAGGACCTAGTTTTAAGGATAAACCGTTTCATAAAATAAACTTTGTTTATTTTGTGTGGTTGATACTAATATCACACTTTAACACGAAGAAAACTTTCAAATCTCTTCATTAGCTTTACTAGTAAACTAACTTTAAGACGAATCACCAACACTTTGTCGCTATTCATCTGATGTGTTTAATTTGTTTCTTAATAGTACAATTGTTTCAGATTTCTTCAGATAATCATTGGCTATTAAATGAAGGTAAGAAACTTAAATTAAATTTCAGTTCAGAGTAAATTTTTACTCTGTATAACTTAATTGTGAAAACCAGCGTAACTGTGTCTTTAAGCTGATACACACTTTCCCCTAATTTTCTTGTTAAAACCCCCATATCATTTGTAAGTGGTGGAAGTAACTATGTTATATTAAGCGTAAAATCCCAACATTTTTTTATAATTCTCTAACCGTAATTCTTACAGAATTAGTGGTTGTACCTTTTCGTCTAGTGTCAAAGAGACCATATCATAAAACATTTTAATTTCGAGCAGTTTTTGTAAGATTCCGACTTTTCTGTTATTTTATGGGTTTTGATTGGGAAATCACAATTTTATATTTTAATAAATAATGCACACAAACGTAAAATAAAACATTCTCCATGCTATGTAAAAGGGGTATTATCAAATGTAATCAAATAACACAAAAATACCTTATAAGTGACTCAGGGAAAAATATTTTATAGCAATTTATTAATATTTAAAATGAATCAAGCAAGAACGACTATTATCTTGCTTTGCCATTTATTTTAAAAACTTATTTATGAACAACTTATTTACAATATGGAGACTTCTAATATAATACGTATCCTACTGTAAAAGTACTCCTCGTAGAAGGATCTTGATTATTCCCAATGTCATGTTCAAATATACACTAAACTGACCCCCCCCCCCTCTTTGACTCGTCAATTGTAAAGTAGTAAATTGGTCTTGATTTACAAAATATATCATGTTATTCCAGAAATAATTATAGATTAAAATCCTTTTTTTAAAATGGCACGTTTTTAAACGCACTAAAAAGTATAATATAATTTAAAAATATTATGAGGGAATAAATACTTTGTAGGATTTAGAAAACGTGGGGCGCATGCTAATTTACAATTATCTTCACCTATTGAACTATTATTATCTATTTCATGCTCCCCACGATTTCCGTTTTAAATCTTACAAGTATTTATTCTCTCCGCATATTTATAAACTATTTTCTACTGTTTAGCGCGATAAAAAACGTGGCATTTTAAAAAGTATTTTTATTTTATTATGTTCTACTTGTTAGTATGTAATGAGTAGATATGTTAAATCTATTTTATATAGCCTGTAAATACATAAACAAAACCATATTATCTGCAATCAGATGTTTTATATTTACTTTGAAATGCTTGTTTTATATTTAGAATCTCTCGGGAGCAGAACCTGTACCTCTAACTGTCAAATATATGGTCTTGAAACTGTCAAATTTAAGTATTTACAGCTGACTTCAAATGATGAATTTACATTCTTCCAAAATGTAAACATGGAAAATTTGAAAGCCTTAGGCTTAGCCCAAGGGAAATATGAAAAAATAATGATATAGTATTGTATTGTCATCCATTTGTGAGCTATGTTTAAAGTTTCAAGTCTCTAGCTCAACAAGAAATTAGTTTAAAATCGAAATCATAATTTGAACCGGACAAGAAAGTGAGCTAGTGAAACCGTTTGATAAAAAGAAAATAACTGATTTTTTAAACCCAATATAAATTATATTTGTATGTGTAACTTTAATAAAACATCTACTTAACCACATATTTAACTCTACATATTGAAGATAATATGCTACCTTAATCAGTAGCAATGTGTAACAAATATATGATAATAATGTGATAGAGCTGAATGATTACTGCAGGTGGTAGAAAATAAACTTTAAATATACTAAGAAATGGTTATGAATATTTCACACAAGTTGACCTGTTAGTTTCAGCCAAAAGCATCAAAGCATCCTACAATTTCCAGCCTGGTGTCCAACCGGTAGCAACATATTTATTACTACGGGGACAGTATGGGCGAGAAGATCGCACTTTTCTGGAATGCTACTTCAAAAGTGGACGACACGTTGGAGTTATCAAGACGTTGAATAATAGAGTTATAGTTTCAATACCGGGGTTGCCCTGCAAGTCGAAATCGGACTTGGATATAAAATCATTTGTTCACTTTACCGAAATCGACAGTGTGAAATATATTACGATAGGAAGTCGTGAAACTGCTAAAGAACATTGGCACTGCTACACCTTCTGTGCAGGTTGTCCAATATATGAAAAAAAGTACAGGTCTTATATCTTGGGATGTAACCCCGACAAAAAAGAAATTGCTAAGTGGTCGCAGGTAGGTTTTAGGATAAATCACGTATCAGTACTCAAAGTCACGCAGATGATTGTTTTCCTTTCAAGTACGTCCATATTTTCACCCTAAAATAGAGTAATGTGCTCTACATTTGTTCTATTACACATGCTCTATTATTTACATCTCTAGTGCAGTATCTACATTATTTTAGAGGAAGTATTTCCTTATGGTTTAAAAACATCTTAGGTTAAATGTACCATGTAACTAACACCTTAAACAACATTCAATATAATCAAAATTAAAAACCTTAGTTTATTGTATTACAAAACTTAACAGTATATAGAACTTAATCCTAATAGATCCTTAATATTTTATAATAAATCTCACAATGATTCTAAAAATTACAACAAACCATATTAAAACATAATTTGTAATGCACTTATTGCCATATTTTATTTTATTTTATTTCAAAGGACATTCAATTTTGTTTGATGTGGTGCTATTTTGTTTACTAACTTATCTATATCAATATAATTATAATGCAATGTACAGTTCAAGATGGCTAATAACAACTATAACATTTGACACTTAGACATAGGCAACAAAAACAAATAACAATAATATAGCAATAACAACAATAACCAATAGCAACAACAATAACAATGACGATCGCCCTTTAAACTAACCATAAATAAGAAGGAAAAAAGGCATGTTCGACTAAATAAATATTAGCTTCAATAAGTAACAGAATCTGACTAGAGCAATTATCATCATATAACATATCACATATATGCATGTTATGTTATATAATATGAGCATGTTTTTTATATTATTTTAAATGGGTTATATATAATACTAGCTGTTGTACCCGTGCTTTGCAACGGGAAGAGGACACAAAATATAAACATTTTAATCTTTACATCTGTAGCATACAATAGTTACACATCCGCCAACGCTTTTAGAAACAAAATTAAACTTGTATGGCCTTAATAGAAACGTATGACGTAGAAAGGTATGACTTTTAAACCTGGTAATAAGTAGTGGATACGACCATTTTGGTTTTGATTAATTTTAAATCTTGTGTAGGCTGATATGAGAAAAACTGACCAAATCTTCGAATAAAACTTTGACATGTATGATTTTATTTCAAAGCAAATATAAACAAACATTGTTAGAGATCTCATCGCAGCCATGGAGACCAATCAATATTTTACTTTCAAAATCTTCAAAAGCCAAAGAGGCAAAGCCTACGGTCAGTATCGTAATGTGAATAGTCCTATAATGGTCCTTGGTATGGTAGCTATATTTTTGTAAAATTTAAGTCCAGTTGGTTCAGTAGTCTTTTCACCTATTAGTAACACACATACAGACAGACACTATTAGATTTTTATATAATAGTATAGATGAAGGTGATGCTGTGGCCAATCATTTTGAACTACTTTGTATGCTGCACTCAATGCCGCAATCCGTTTTTTATTTTCATATTTGATTTTTGAAATATTGGCATTTTAAATAAAACAATTGTAATATTCCATCGCGTGCTAAAGTCAGTGGATGAAAGTTCGATTTGTCAGTTAACTGTAGGATAAATATGTTGCGTTATATTTTAACTTTACGTAACCCATTAATCTGTGTAGTAACAAAAACGTGTTTTTTTTCAGAATGGCGTCCTTTGGAAACGAGTTGGAGACACAAGTACGTTAAGCTAAATATTAAAGGAAGTAAACAAATATTAAATAAATTACTCTTTAATTTGTTTAGTCATTATTTAATTTATCGATTAAGTGAAACATTTTTACTATAAAATAATTAAAATGCCAAATTAATGATTATATTAGCTGTGGGCCCACCCTTCACACGGGTATCAAGTATTAACACTCCCAGGTAAACCCACCACTATACTACAGTGCTAGGTAGACACATCCCTAGACTACACTCCTAGGTAGACACATTACTACACTACACTCCTAGGTAGACACATCACAACACTACACTCCTACGTAGAAACACAACTACACTACACTCCTACGTAGACACATTACTACACTACACTCCTAGGTAGACACATCACTACACTACACTCCTAGGTAGACACATTACTACACTACACTCCTAGGTAGACACATCACAACACTACACTCCTACGTAGAAACACAACTACACTACACTCCTACGTAGACACATTACTACACTACACTCCTAGGTAGACACATCACAACACTACACTCCTACGTAGAAACACAACTACACTACACTCCTACGTAGACACATTACTACACTACACTCCTACGTAGACACATTTCTACACTACACTCCTAGGTAGACACATCACAACACTACACTCCTACGTAGAAACACAACTACACTACACTCCTACGTAGACACATTACTACACTACACTCCTAGGTAGACACATCACAACACTACACTCCTACGTAGAAACACAACTACACTACACTCCTACGTAGACACATTACTACACTACACTCCTAGGTAGACACATCACAACACTACACTCCTACGTAGAAACACAACTACACTACACTCCTACGTAGACACATTACTACACTACACTCCTAGGTAGACACATCACTACACTACACTCCTAGGTAAACACATTACTACACTACACTCCTAGGTAGACACATCACAACACTACACTCCTACGTAGAAACACAACTACACTACACTCCAAAAGGTAGATATACAACCACTCCTATGTATATGTATATGTATATGTATCCTATGTATTGTTTATCACACTGCTGACATAAATGAAACATTTTCCCACTGTTCACTCTTCTTATGACAACGATTCACAGCTACTCTTCTCATTCAAAGATCAGAGAGTTTGCAGGCAGAACAGGCAATAAATATTGATTTAACAAATATTTATCAGTAGTCAAAAACTCTTTGCCTTAGGTTAAATACTGAGAATTGTTCAGTAATACATTTAAGCAATCGCTTAAAGGAACACTCTTTTAAGCCATCAAAATAATGTAAATATACTTTTGGAAAATGATTTATTGAAGGCTACTGAGGGTGTTAAATTTCTTGGGTTTACGAATGATACAGAATTCAAATTTTCAAAACAAGTAAAAACAATCGTACAAAAGGGTCATATCTTTACTCAGAGTGTTGAATAGATTTAGGCATATATTAGCTGAGAATGTAAACTTACAAATGGACAGATCTCTAGTAATGTCAATAATAAATTATATTTTGCCTGTCATTTATTGGGTTTTCTTTGTTGGCAAAAAATTTGAATATCTTGGATCGCTTGCAAAATAATGCTCTAAGATTTGTATATGATCCAACAAAATGATCACATATCACTTATCAGAAAGAAAAGTGAAATGTTACTAGTACAGGTTGTTTGCGTCCTTGAAACTTTTGCCATAGTACATAAAGTGGCCAAAACAAACAGACCCTCCTACCTCAAAGATAAACTGACCATTCGAAAAGAAGTACGAGATAGGTGCAAAAAATGGATAGCCTACTGCATTTGCCTCGTGTAAACTTTGAATGTAGTAAGAAGGGGTTATCTTTTTTTGGCCCTCAGGAATACAATTCCTTACTTGAAAGAGTTAAAAATTTAAGTTATAAGGCTTTCAGACAAGACACGAAAAACTGTATTTGTAAATATAGGTTAGTTCTATTAGTTTTAATTAAATTATTTGTTCTCTTTTATTATTGAATTGAAGACTGTGTACCTGACTTGAGTTGTTTTGAAAAACTGTGTATTTTTGTGTCGAAAACCGATTTATATAAAAGAAGTTTGTATTCTATTCTATTCTATTTAGACACATCACTACATTACACTCGAAGGTAAACACATCACTACATAACACCACTACACTACACTTCTAGGTAGACACATCACTACACTACAATCCTATGTAGACACGCCACAATATTACACTCGTAGGTAGACACACCACTACACTACACTCTTAGGTAGATACAGCACAACACTACACTCCTAGGTAGACACACCACTACACTACACTCTTAGGTAGATACAGCACAACACTACACTCCTAGGTAGACACACCACTACACTACACTCCTAGGTAGATACAACACAACACTACACTACTATTTAGACACACATCTATACTACACTCCTAAGTAGAAACAACACAACAATACCCTGGTTAGATACAACACTACACTACACTCCTAGGTAGATACAACACAACACTACATTTCTATGTATACACATCACTACATTATTGGTACACTCCTAAGTAGAAACAACACAACAATACCCTGGTTAGATACAACACTACACTACACTCCTAGGTAGATACAACACAACACTACATTTCTATGAATACACATCACTACATTATTGGTACACTCCTAAGTAGAAACAACACAACAATACCCTAGTTAGATACAACACTACACTACACTCCTAGGTAGATACAACACAACACTACATTTCTATGTATACACATAACTACATTACACTACAACACATTAGATAAAACTCAACACTCAATCTTAGTTAGACACGCCACACACTACTCTACACCACACTACTAGGAAGATACAACACAACACTACATTCCTGGGTAGATACACCACAATACTACACTCTTAGGTAGATACAGCATAACACAACAGTCCTAGGTAGACACAACACTACACTTCACTCCTAAGTAGATACAACACAACACTACAGTCCTAGGTAGATACAACACAATTCTACACTCCTATGTAGACACATTACTACACTACACTCCTAGTACAACTCTTGGTAGATGCAACACAACACTGCATACCTAGGTAGACACACGACTAGACTACACTGCTAGGCAGATATTTGCCTCATTTGTTTAGGTCGTGGCTTGATTTTAACATATTCTATGATTTTTTTTTACATTTACGTCGTTGTTTTGTATCCATAATGAAAACCCATAAATCAAATGTTAAAAGTAAAAATATTGAGTTTCTTTTAAATTATACAGACATAATAAAAAGTTGAAATTGGTTTTGTCCAAGCCTTCCAAATTTTTGTCAAAACAACCTTGGTGAGTTTGGGTAAAATATGTTCAGCCATTATTGACTTAAATTAAGCAGGTTTATATTGAAGTCAATCCCAAAGAGCTTTACTTCGATCCACTCAATTAGATACAACCCAACAGAACACTGCGTAGACAATAAAAAACTCCCAACTTGTTAGATACACCATAGAAAGCCGACACCAAGGTCTCGTAGTGCCATATATGAGAAGGTTCTGCTTGAATCCTCTCAGGTAATAGACGTGAAACATGCAATTGTACAAAACATAAACAATCTAATTAATTTTTTTAAGCTTGACAATTAGCTAGTTGGGGGATGATCCGCAGTCAGAGCTAGGCTACCTCCCAGGGGACGTCTCATTGTTGCCGACTCATTTTTGATTTTTATTTTATTTTACTACTCACTTACTAATAGAGTCGTGAATGTGCTCACGTAATACAAGCAATAATTACACGAACAACATATTATGATTGAAAAACTTATAGTTGAAATTTTTAATATATTAATTTTTCTTACAGGTTACGAAAGAACTTACATAAGTAATTATTATTCCAACTACGAAGACGATAGTTTAACACTTATTCAGCTGTCTCACCAAGACTATATACTCAGAAATTCAGTTGGAACACAATTTGCAGTCCTAGATTTAAAAGATGGGAATTCTATTAAAATATACATGGTATATTTTTTGGAACATACAGAAACCCAGCCACGAACATGGGGAGAAATTTGGTCTGGGACGCCGGAGAAAAAAAACACGTATTATGTTTTTATTGATGATAAATACAAAAATGTGAAAGAGCTAACAGATGAAAATAAGAAAATTTGGTTTTTTTATTACCAATTCGATGAAAGTGAGGATTATAGCAGATACATCTACCACGATTTCAAGGTAAATGTTATTTATCACTAGTTTTAGTTAAGATACCAAAGCTTTTTTCCGTTTATATTTTAAGCTGAGTATAAATGCATGGAGACGTGAAACTGGAACGGAGATCAATAATTTGTCCTTTCAGAAAATTTCCTATACACAGAAAAAGCTATTGCCGTAGATGTCATGGTAATAAAAAAAAACCCAGCCGAAGCAAACCTGCAGACTAAGTGAATTTCAATATTTAGACTTTTTGCATGTTTACTAAAATATTACCTAAAATTTATAAATTTATTCCCTACTTAAATAACATTGAGTACCTATGTTTGCTAATATAGGGAAGGAGAATAGTGTTGTTTTATTAAACATTGATAGTATGGTATAAAATAAATAAAGTTACCAAACTTGATTGCAATATACCTATAAAAAAACTAACTAAAACAGTTTACTTTTTCTTCATTAGAATGACATGGGAATTTTACACATAAATATTTTTTTTTAATTTTCTCCGTATTCTTTATATTTTACACTAGGAGTACGCTCCGAAGTCACGCATGAGAATGGACGAAGACTATTCCATGTAGGCTACCATATATAATCTGTCTTTAGTCTTTGGTGCCCCTTATACCATGCCTCTGCGGCCCGCCGGCCGCCGTAAGTTTGTGCGGCAGCAGTGGCAGTGATGACCAGCGTTGCCAACACAATTTGCTCATTTTACCCGCAAAATCCGGTGGTAATCCCCGGAATTACCCAGAATCAAGTCTTGATTCCCCGCAAAAAACCCCTGAATTCAAATTTTAAAGATTTCGGCAAACTTTTTGGTAAAGTTTGTACCTCGTTGTAACCACGTTGTTACGGTGAATTGAGAGAATTATCAATATTTATACCATTCTTTCTTATATTCAGCAAACCATTCATCATTCATTTCAAGTTTTTTTTAAGGCTACCTTTGTTAACTGAAGTCAAATGAAATGTAATGAAATATCTATTTATGTACCTATTTATGCAAATATTTTTATCTTTATGAAAGAGAGGTACCGGAACTCCGTTCCACTGCATTCCCACCAAATCGAGCACTGAATAACAGTAAAACTCTATCCCCTATATAAACCAAACAAAAAAAAACCCCCTAAAATTTACAAGAGTTTAAACTTTATGTGATGACCCCTGGCCATATCATAAATTGAATGAATAATGTTTATTATAAAAGCTAGAGCTAGTAATGCAAGAGTGCCAGATGTGGGTGCCAGATCTGGGATGACATATCTGGACACATTCCAGAGCCTAGGTCTATCGCGAATGGCAACTTGAGTACTGTGGTAATTCGGAATTATATGAATAATATTCAATAGTTTGATGCCATAAAATGGTGTTAGTAACCCTTATGGAAAAGTGGACTGGTCCCAGATCTGGATTCTATATCTGGCCAGATCTGGTTTTATATGAGTTAATCTGACCAGATGTGGGTGCCAGATCTGGGATGACATATCTGGACACATTCCAGATCTGGCACCCATATCTAACCAGATATGGAATTAGTTCAGATCTGGCATTCCACCATTATATAAGTGATCTGGCTCCGACGATTTTCTTCAAATGTTGTAAATAGTTTATTCCTGGCCTAAAACGAGTTTACTGCAGTTAGAACCGCCAACAAAAATCCAATTACGTAGAAAAAGAAACTGAAAGTCAATTTTTTTAACATTAGTCTTATGGGTTGCTAAGTAACCATCTTGGCTGAATTAAATAACTAACAAGGAAAACGTAAACAAAAGACTTGTAAGTTGTCTATCCACAGTATACTAGCAAAACAAAAATACAGTACAAAAGGAAAAACATCAGTTGTTACTATTGAGCAAAGATTATACTGAAGATTACTCGATACATTGTAGTCAAGGGTAGCAGTGTGGAGTGCAATCCAGTAAGATATCTGCAATCCAAAAATGCTATGGGAAGGGAGGAAAACAGGTCCGTGATGTAGGAAGTGGTGAAGAAAGTAGTCAAGGCGAGCTGTCCGGAGTGTGGGAACTGTTTATGACGATTAGATTACGGTATCTGCAATCCTCAAATGCTATGAGAAGGGAAGGAAAATAGGAAATGGTGAAAGAAGTAGTAAAGGATAGCAGTGCGGAGTCTGGGGAATGTTTGTGGCAATTATATTAATTTATCTAAAATACTAAAATTATATGGAAAGAGATTAAAACAGGTCCACGACGTAGGAAGTAGTAAAGTTTAGCATCGTAGAGTGTGGGAAATGTCTGTGACAATTATTTATCTGCATTTCTAAATGGTATAGGGAAGGAGGGCAGACAGATCCACAACGTAGGGAGTGGTGAAGGAAGTAGTAAAGGCGAGCACTGTGGAGTTCGGGAATGGATTAATCTATCTTCAATACTAAACTGCTTTCAGAGTAAACTAATGATTTCCCCCGAGCAAAGCTCGGTCCTCAGGTACTAGAGTTCTTAAACTAGCGATACCACCTTAAAATTCTTTGGTGTGTAGTAGGAGTCCGTCTAAAATGCCCCGGAAACTCACGCTGGACAGTTATTAAAGATAAACTTGAGTCATAATGAAAAACTCAAAATTTTTTTCTTGAATTGTAACCATTTTGAAAATGATGCAAACACGTCCAAGAAAAAACCAAGACTGATTATTGAACAGCTGATTATAAAACTTGGAAACATGCTTTTTAAGCACATGTTTCAAATATTTATGTGAGACGAGAATTGGGTGAGGTACACGCCTTTAAAACCTGATGATTCTTTTATAAACGCCCTGTATTTCAATTTGTCTTATTTGCAAGCAATTTTGATATTGTTATTTCATTGTGTTTCATTCACTATTTCAATTGTGCAAAGACAGTCTGGAGGTAGCATAAATTAATGAGTCGGTTCATTATAACCCAAACTTTACCTTCCTAATCGAACATAACTTCAAAACACTTAATACAGTCACGAATTCGCATAAAACCCAACCTACCTTCCCCACATGCCTAACTAAGAGCTGATTATTTAGTTTCAAAACAAATTGATTTAATTCCGCATTGAGTCGAGTATAAAGAGCTGTTTGCTTTCCTCACACAGTCCTCAGCCAACATTCGGACCCGTCCAGACCACGCCATATTACCATCCGAACCGCGAAATGAACCTTAGATTCGTAATTTTAGCCTTCGTTTTATATCCACTTAGGAATGTTTCCGACAAAAACGGATTGCATTTTTGGAATCAGCGTGAAAAATACTGTAAGTAAACATCTAAAAATTACATCATATCTGATTGTTAAACTAAAAGTCATAGTTTTGCATTAACTCTATTTATTATAACCCAAAAGTAAATATTTACAAACACAACACAAACAAATGAATATTAAACATATGTTACTTGTCATCTTCCCCTTGAGCTTGGAGTCCTAATCTTTTTTTTTATAAATCTATTATTTCGTCTCTTTATACCCTTATCTTTAATAGAAACTAAATAAGATCTGAGTTGTTGAAGTTTCTTCTCTATTACTCCTTCATCCCATGTTTTATTGAATACATCTTACCCAATTTACTGGTTCTTCAACAGGTTGTATGATGCCTCTTTTCACAAGAGAGTCCAAGGTCTCTTTAAACTTATCTTTAATTTTTAGAGGTCCTTGCAGTACTAATTGTGGGTTGTGTAACCCACAAATGCCTCTTTTGGTTGCCTCTTTTTGGGGGTACTCTTTTATTTTGATATTACATTTATCCGGGAAACAGCCTAATCCTTCAAAAACATCTTTATTTTCCTCAAAGATTTTTAACTTCTCTTTCTCTAGGTCGGTGTTACCACCATTTTCATTTCTGACACTCTCAATTCGTTTTAGTAGGTTAAATTTAACACATGTTTCAAGTCCTAAAATAGGTACCGTGTTTTCATTTTTTACAAAAAAAAAACTAACTACATCAATATTTTGATCGGTTTCAATTTGAACATCGATTATACCACAAGGTTTAATGGAAAACCCCCCAAATGACTGCAATGTGGTGTTACAAGGCTTCAATTTACTAGGTAAGTTCAGATTTCTTAAATGGCAATACATTGACATCTGCCCCACTGTCAAGTTGGAATTTTATTTCTTTGCCTTCTACCAGTTTTATTTTTTATGCTATCAACCACACAAAGGCTATTAATGTCTGATTCATGATTGTCTTCAACTGACATGCTGTTATCACAAACATTTTGCAAATTATTGCAATGCTTTGAACCAAGGAATTTATTATTATTTCGGCAAACACTAGCAAAGTGGTTTGGCTTACCACATTTTTTACAGATTCTTCCTATTGCAGGACACATTCCATGATGGATACCACCACATCTATAACAATTATTAGTTTTGCCTACCTGTCTGTTGTAACCTCCTTGTGACGTGTTATACCCCTGCTGCTGCTGCTGATTAAAACGTCGTATTGCACTCAAGCCCTGTCCATCTGTAATTTTAGAATTCACGACCGTGTCAACTTCAAAATTGTTTTGATCTGTTTTACCTTTAGCCAAACTTACATACATTACATTGTTTTTCTTGGCGGAAAAAGTAATGATTTATTATCTTTTTTGGATTGCTGACTTGGTGGGGAAAGTGTTACCACTTAGTGGTTTTTTGTTAGATTTTATTTTATTTTTGTAGAAAATTAACAGTTAAAATAAAAGTCCTCTTTTCTCTGATATATAGACCACGGCACAACTACATCTCATTTAATTTCAATAATATTGTTTGTGTAGAACTAAATTCTACAATTTTGGTCTTATCTGCTTTAAACCGATTAAAAACTTTTTGAAACACGTACCAAAATTACTATTTAACAAACCCCCTGGGCTTAAACTCAGTTTCAAATTTCATCAATGGTTATCTTGAACAACATAAAATGCGTTGGTGTTCTGATAATTAAACCCGTATATCTAACCCATATCTAACCGTATATCTAAAGACTAGTGTAAATTGAGCCCTTATTAGAGAAGTAAAAATGTAATCAAACAGATTAGGTTTGTTAGAAAAAGCATAAAACAAATATTGAAAAACTCATTTATCCTAAATTTACCTATCACTTTTTAATTGCTTGTTTAACATACGTAGAGTGATTTTCTCGATTGTTTTATTTGTTTTAGTGTATCAAAACATAAAAAAACCTTAGTACTTTGTTTTATTTGGTTTAGTGTATCAAAACAAAACAAACCTTAGTACTAGTACTAAGTTTGAAGTTCCTAGGTTTCATATGTTTTGATAAGTAGTATTAAACTGTTAAAAATGACGAGCTGCTGTACCAGTGTACAATCGGTACACTGCATTTTTCAGTGGAAAGTATCGGGGAATATCACTGCTCTAAGTAATTTTATATAGTAAGTAGTTCAAATCATTCGGTATACTTGAAAAAATCTATACTATTATATGGCGTTAAGGGCTTTCAAACAACATAAAAAACATTAAAATTGAGCCAGTGGTTTGGGCTGTAGGTCCGTCAACATTCAAGGAGAAGGAGGAGGAGGAGGAGAAGGAGAACACGGAATATTTGTGAATTTTCAAACTAGTTTATCTTGGCTCAAACACAACCGTTTTTTAAATTCTTTTTTTATTTTGTTGAGAATGAGTGCCCCTATCCAGTAGATGAATAACTATTGTAATAGCTTTTGTTTCTTCAGAGCTATAGACGAGTAAAAAAGCCACTTTGTCACGTCATGTATATATACACTGCAGCAGCTGTGTTCCGCTGGGGGACTTGGAGGGGCGGAACGCTGCTGCGTTCCTTAATTATTGCCAAGTCGCACATTTTTTTCTGCAAGTTCAGATGCTTTACAGAAGTTGATTACTCTATCAAAACTTGTATCTTCTCTTAATAGTTTTTCCTGCAACTCTTTATTATTCACTCCTAGAATTATAAGTGCTCTCAATATTTTTTCTTCCTGTTCTTCAAACTTGCAACATCTTATTAGATTTCTGAGGTCTGCGTAAAACGAGTCAAAATTATCATGAGGTAGTTGTTTCCATGAAAATAAAAGATGAATGCTCATGGTCATATTTTGTTTTGGTACACAGTGTTTTTCCAATGTCTTCATCACGTTTTCAACTGTTTCAACCACAGACTCATCTTTTATTGAGTTGTACAATTTCAAACCATCTGTCCCCAGAAGATTTATCAGTCTGGCTAATTGAATTTCCTTACTTTCTTTAATTCTTTCGTTGTTTTTGTAGCAATAAAGTAAATGTCGATTTCTTCCTTAAACTGTTTAAATTTGTCTGAAATGTTTCCCTCCGATAGGTTGAGTGGAACTGGTTTATTGAAATCCATAATATTTAAACTTTACTTTCCCTTCTTCTATTTAAACTTTACTTTTGTTGAAAATCGACTGCGCCATGATTGTTAGACTAAAAGTCATAGTTTTGTATTAACTCTATTTATTAAAACCCAAAAGTAAATATTTACAAACACAACATAAACAAATGAATACCTATTAAACATATATTATTTGTCAATATCTCAATGCATACATACTAAATAATTGCCAAATATTTTATCGGATGAGTAAATACATTTAATCTTAACAATGCATATCAATATTTATTCGATTCAATTTTTCGAAAACAAAAAATTGTGTAACTACGAAGCGCTATTCTGCCACCGCTGCCGGTTGTGGTTGGGTTGAGTGGTATTTGTTTTATTGAGGATAGTTATATGGTCGGATTGTGGTTTTCAGAAAGGGTGGACTGGTTTTGGTTGGGTCGGGTTTTGCGGGTTTACGCATTGTCATGAGTTGTGGGGGGGGGGGGCCGGGGTGGGGGTTCACTGAATATTTATTAATGCAATACCATATACCATATACAAAATCATTAACAGGGTAACACCATTTACTTAATTTATTATCCCACACAAAAACATACAACATGTGAAACTAAACACTACTGTCTATTGCCAACTGTGGATGGAATGAGGTAGTTGGTCACGGCAAGCAATGCCTGTCGTGGTTTACAGTAGTCGCAGTTAGTCTGGGCACGCGGACCCTTGTGTACTAACCGTCCCGCACGCCAAAGCCATGAAGACAGCGCTGAGGCACTGAACAACCCCAGAGAGCCGTGTGGGCCAGATGTTTTTGGAAATGAGCAATAAACACTCCCCTCTACACCCCCCGTCCGAGCACGGTCGCGCACCCAGATGGCCCAGACTAGCTGTGACAACTATACAGTTTGGGTGGGCGTGTTAGGGACTATTGATCAGGGAGATTGGTGTGGTGGGTGATGCTGAGATTTGGGCGATTGGTAAAATAGGGCTGGAAAAATTGTTGAAGCATCTCGGATATGCGGGCACGGTCAAGGTACTTCAAGTTAAGGTGTTTGAGGAAATCCCCAAGGGGTGGAATGGATTGGGCAGTGTAGGAATCCTGGTTTCTGGTCCAAGGGGGGGAGGTGGGAAGCTATCCCCAAGGCACGCCTTTCAGTAGCCTCCAGGCTGGAGAAAATGCGTTTAGGGGCTGTTAAGAGAATAGGGTGGGCATAGGTGAGAACGGGACGGATGACGGAGAAGTACAGACGCCCGAGCGTCGAGGTGGAGCAGTGGCGGCGGCAGTTGTTTAGGACTCGGAGCGCACGGAGGCGGGTAGTGGCTCGTTTCTTGGCTTCACGGAGATGAGGACCAAAGGATAGGTTGGAGTCAAGCTTGACTCCGAGGTAGGTGCAGGATTTTTCGAGGGACAGACGGACGTTGTTGAAATGAATGGGCTCAGATTTTGTTCTTTGAAACCTACGGGAGTTGAAATTGAAGAAGCAAAGTTGGGTCTTAGCGGCGTTGATGGTGATACGCCATTTGAGACAGTAGGAGAGGTAGTTTTGGAGGGTGGTTGTAGTCAGGCGGATAAGGGTGTCATGGCGCCAGTGAGAGGTCCAGAAGGCAGTGTCGTCAGCGAACTGAGCGAGACCACGGGAGGTGTCGGTGGGGCCAGTTGGGGTTGGAGACGGGAGGTCTCGGACATAGAGGATGTTTAGGAGAGGGCTAATTGCCGAACCTTGTGGGACCCCGGCATGGAGGGGTAAAGGAGAGTAGAGGGTTCCACGATGGCTGACTTGGGCAGTTCGGCCGTTGAGGAAGTGGGATATCCACCTGATGACTGGAATGGGGAGTTGGTGGTCCAGGAGTTTTACACGGAGCCCATCGTGCCAGACAGTGTCAAAAGCCTTTTGGACGTTTATGAGGGCAAGGATAGTTGGGCAGTGAAGGGTATTGTTCGTTTGGAGGCATGTACCAAACCCACAGGAGTTGATCGTACATGTTGACTCTAGGACGGAAGCCTGCTTGGGTGTCTGGGAGGAGGCCAAGGGAGTTCAGATGGATATGGATCCTGGTTGATAGGATTTTCTCGAAAAGTTCGGAAAGTGTTGACGTGAGACTGATGGGTCGGTAGTTAGACGGGTTGTGATGGTCTTTGTGGGGTTTGGGGAAGAGGATGACGTGTGCATGCTTCCACGCTTTGGGGGAGTATCCTAAAATGAGAACTGAGGTGTAGAGGGTGGTGAGCAGGGTAATGAGGACTGGGGGAGCCTTCTTGAGGAGAAGGTAAGAAATGTCATCTGGGCCTGGAGAGGTGTTTTTGAGGAAGTGCCGTTTCCGGTCAACCTCTTGGTAGGTGATTGGAGCGGTCAGTTCATGGAACGGGATGAGAGCAGGGATGGCGTCTAGGGGGTTGAAAGTGTCAGGGCGCTGGGTGACCAGGGTTTCTACTGTTCTGAGGTGTTCTTCGTCAAAGTCGGGGTGTGTAGGGAGTGTGTGGATGGAGGAGAGACGGTCGAGGAAAGCCTCAGCCATGCCTTGGCTATCCGTAACCAGGGTGTCGTTGACTCTGAGGGGAGTGGATGGGGTGTAGGGGTTGTTGCAGTTCTTGACGAAAATTGCGGGGATTGTCGTGCAAGTCGGACTCTGCCTTCTCACACACCTTCTGAGCCCTGGCGTCCTTAAAGGCGCGTAAAGCCAACTTTACGCTTTCCACCAACGCCGTGTAGGTGTCGTGAAGGTAGGGGGAGGCAGGATCGCAGAGTAGGAGGTGCCGCGCACGGTGTTTAGCTTTGATGAGGGCCAGGGTGTCAGGGGGAAGCCTGAGAGGTGTCCGAAGGACTCTCTTTACTGGGACTGAAGAGGTCTTAGCAGCCCTGTCCTGCACCGTATTTATAGGGGTCGCGACGCTAGTGCAGTACGTGGCCGCTCGATTAACTAATCACCCTGGTCGTTAAAGGGTAGACTGAAATTTCGTCATTGCGGGCCATTTGAAATCGTATAAACGCTCGTTTTCTGATCTCGTAAAATTTTTACCGTTACAAAGTAAAAATAATGCATTGATTAGTTTTGTTTCTCAAGCCGTTTGCGGATGTGTCACTCTTTTAATCATCCTTTGTAAATAGATTTTTTTTCTATTCCGCGTCCTCTTCCCGTTGCAAAGCACGGGTAACAGTTTCGTTGGATTTCATCACTATTTGATAACTTTTTGAAACTATCGAACTTATCAACGTTTAAATTGTAATGTTTAGCCCGTTTAAACTTTAAAGTAATTAACTTGTCTTTAAACAAAAAAAGTTTCAATACAGAGTTTTATATAATATGAGTTAGCACTTCAGTTTGGATGAAAATTGTTTTACTTTTGCTGTAGCTAATCTTATCACTGTTTGCCTAACATCGCTAAACTTGTACTTACTGAACGTAATCCTGTTTCAGAAAGTCGATAGTCAACTCACCAAAACCTGCAAGGCAACAATAGAGGGTGAGTAGTCCTAATTAATTGATTAACTTTATTTTGATACATCAAACTGTAACCACCCAAAACCCTTCAAGGGGTAAAAATCAGATGTTTAAAGTTTCATTTTAAGATATTACAGTTTTCTACGTTTTCATTTTCTACGGAGTAAGCCGCGCCCGCGTTGTCAGCGGCATCGTACGGGCAGGCCGTCCTACGTCATCGTAGAGGGGAGGACGCTAGTTACCTACCCCGCCGCCAAGGGCGATTGCAAAAAAGTGCCAAAAGACCAGACCTCATGATCAGTGTTGTCCGCCCGCAACCAAACCGTCAGTACGCTTGCTGTTTGGAGACAATCCAACAGTCTAACCTCCTAAATTCTGGTCAGCTAATGATTTCCCCCGTTCCTGGTATAGTCCTACTCCTAACGCATCAGGTTAGAGTGCTACCGAGTTTATTATAGTAGTCACGCGCACCCCGAACGTTTTTTCACGTACGAGCATACTACCATTTTCTTTAACCAGCTACGGAAATCTTTTAAGTTGCTAGAACGATACCCGTAGTGCTTATTCCGTTCCCGAACCGTCCTACTTAAATTTGATTAAAGAAACCCCGTATCGACTCCGGTGTTCGATCGAGTCTAATTTTATCGACACGTTTACTTTAGTGATGACCAAGTATAACGACCGAATCACGTTTTAGTTAAGTTTCCAATTAATTGGGTTTATTCTCATTCACGTTAATTGATTCAAAATTCTAAATTTAGCTTCACATATTTTTTGAGTGGCTATGATGAGCACTAGTTAAAGTTAAGCTCAACATTGTTAGCATTGTTGTATTATTATTCTGAGTCAATAAACTCGAAACAATAATTAATTAATGAAAACATTAGAGTCCAGGGGACTATCTCATTGTAGGCTAGGCTATCTGGTAAAATTTTTTGGTGTGACCTAATTTCAGGTGAGACGAGTATTGCGTATTCTAAAATCTAATTTTGTCCCTTAACCCGAAATTTCGTCATATCAAATGGCGATCCGAACAGGGACATTTATTGAATTTTGACGATATCTGATGGTGCCCGAAGGTATAGTCGATAATTCATTGTTTTTGGCTCAGAATTTAATAAACATTACACAAACGAACATTAACAATATCAGTTTTGTGTTCGAGACATAATTTCACTCAACCCGAAATTTCGTCATAAAACACTATTATTTACATGAACCCTATAACCATACACTCGGTAGTGTAACAAGTTATTGTTAAGATATTGAGACGGAATGGATAAAAAAACTGAGCATGAAATAATACATGCGAGGCAGTAGCCTGTAGTGGAAAGCTAACAGGACGCCCTCTCCAAATGCAGCAACAAGTTAGCCTTCCACCCCGAACCTCATCTGACGTCATTGACACACTTATAATCCATGTTACTGAAGACAAAAGATTGAACAAGGAACGAAAATACGACCCGATGGTGGACAATTCATGTCAATTTAATGTCTGTAATTTAATGTATTCAATTGATTTAGGCTATTTGGTCAATTTTTGTTCGTACATTTTAACAACAATTTCAAACACAAAGCCTTGACAGGTACGGACCGAAGTCATGGGCCTTATGACGAACACATGTTTCAGAACGGACATAGATAGACTTTGGGTCTGCAGGTTTGCTGCAAGACACAAACCAAACCAATTCCGGCGAAAAACCAACGGTTGCACTATAAGAAAAACACTGAAACGTCACATCGATGGAGCGTGTGAACGTGTCACGGCTCAGAATACGACAAACTAACTGGTCTCATTAATAAGTTAAATAATGTAATTACAGTTTTAACTATTCCAATTAATTTATTTGCAAACGAGTTGTTCTATTTTAATTTGAGCGTTCTCCAACTCGTCTACGACTTTCTAAATTTGGACGCAAAGATTTTCCTTAAATATTTGAATACATAGTTGTAACAGAAACAGTAAAATAAATTAGTTACTTGATAGTGTTTGTGGGTTCAACAGTAATTTAACTCGATTTTTTTCGATTCGGTTTACCTGTTAAGTTTTAGCTTATTATTTAAGTTATAAAGAGTACTATGAAGACATTTTAGAAATATTTTACCACCCTCATACAGAATAACGTACACAATGTACTCTTTCAAGTAAATTAACGAACGGTTGCATCGATAAGCTGTTGTTCATTTAATTAGTTAACAACAGGCGCAGTCCTTTGGAAATTGACCTGTGGACTAAAGCCCTTAGAGAAGAAAGAATGTGTTACTTTACGTCGAAAACCGGTGGCAAAACCTGTTTTGTTCATACTTTTTGTTCACCTGCTCTAAAATAAGTACCACATACTCCCTTGTGTTGGTTAATCAATGGCTGTGGTTAATTGAGTTTAATAGTTAAAACAATTTCATAAACACATATTTTATAATTTACGAAAATATCATGAGTTTTAGAATTTAGAATTTTTTTGTTAATTTTTTAATCACGAATTTGTATCACAAACCATAGACATTGACAACTGAAACAATAACAACTCAGTAATGTTAAAGTATGCGGTTTTGAGCAAACACTGCAGTGGTTTGTGTTGTTTTTTGTCATTAATAATCCCCCCCCTCTCTTAAACCTTAATCTCATGTTTTTATTAGCAATATCTTTGATTGTTTGTGGTTTTTCTAATTAAATATAATGTAAAAATGCTAAATGTATAGCCTCTGAAGTACTAAGTCTATGTCTTGTTGTCAGGAAACCTTTCGCCCGATAAGTTAGCATGTCGTGGTACGGAAGAGATATATACCACTGACTCTACACCAGAAGTTACACTAAGTTGTTGCACAGGCACACATAGGGATACAGCTGTTGTTAAATATAATGGAAATCATTTACTGACGTGGACTGATTATTGCTCAAGAAAGGAAACTATTAAGAATTTCTACTTGATACTTACCACGAGCGGAAATAAATTTGACAGCCTAATTATTGGAACAAAAACAGAAGACAAAATGTGTTGGTACAATATGTTCGGAACTGCAACAAAACTTATAACTAATCTTCTCATTGACTACGTCCCTACGGTCGACCCTCCTCACCAGTGGTATGAGGTAGGTAGGCTTAACCATTTTAGTATATGAAACACGTATGTTAATTGTGAACCAGACCAACGTAAAAGATTCCCTGTACACATAAACATACGCTTTTGTATTATTTTCTATACGATACATAATTTTAGCCACGTATTTTCAACCACTTATATGATGCCATTAATGTAAACATGTTATACTTTATACACTTTTGGATGAGCCAGCCTACCTCTTGTCAATGAATACCGTGTTAAATTTTTACAGTAAGTTAGGAAAAATGCTACTGTCAGTGGCCCACTATACGATGATAAAATTCATAATTGGTTTAGAAAGTAATGAAAAATGGATTAAAATTAATGAGTGTGCTTAATTTGCGTTTTAACAAGACATGAATGAATTAGGTGAGTTGGTGGTTCTGTCGGTAGCCGGACTGACTACGGACCATGACAGGGATACGTCTCAGGTTCAAAATACAGGCCCACAGCCCATAGGCCTACAATATATGGTGAAAAATACAAAAAATATATTATGCACCATGCAATTCACTCGGGTTAATTATCTTCTCTCTGGCCAGATTCAGTAAAAATATAACCGTAAACAAAGAAACCACACAACATTTCGTATCCCCAATAAGATTAATATTGAATATTTAAGTAAAATATCTTGTTAAATTCAAATTTTGTTGATTGATCATTCAAGGTACCGTATTTGGTTTTATATTTTATATAACCAAAACAATTACTTGCTTACTTCAGTTATCAACAGAGCTGTGAGAATTGAGGTAAAGATTTTCGTTTATTGTAAACAATCCATTCCTTTGAGTTTTCATTGAAATGCATTCACTTGTAGCATTTGAACTTTGATCGGGATGTTTCCCTCCTATGACCAACTAGATAGTGAGCGGCGTCGGCCTTGAACATGGGAGTGATGACGTCTCTCTCCGCTCGTGTCGTGATGATATGCTCTTTTGTATTTTTTAAACTCTAAATAAAATTATGAGACGTTATTACGACCGTCTCACAACTTGAGAATGAGAGAGAATGAGTGAGAATGAGAATGAGAATGATTTATTTCTTGAAAGCATCGATATGTACAAGGAAACGTCAATACATCAAAATCTTTGCCTAAGCCTGCAACATACCATGCAGAGAAGTGAAAAACAAAAACAAAACTTATTTATCATCACACATTGACTAAAAAAAACTTACTTACTTGGCCAGGTGAAATTTAAAAAAAAAACCTTTGAATGAGTAAATCGGATTTGCCAACAGAAGAGATTCCATCCCCTTTTTGAATTTTGCTTCCGGCAGTGACCGAGCTGTACAAGGGAGTTTGTTAGACAACTTATATCTCTGTATACAATAGCTAGATTGGACCTTTCTTAATCTAACATAGGGTACATTCAAGTCGTCCTTCCTCCTAGTATTGTGAGGGTGGATATCAATTCGGAGTTCGAGAGAGCCTGTCTCCTGCTTAGTATACAGAAGAGTAGTAAATATATAAATATATAAATAGTAAATAGTAAAAGTAGTAAGTAGTAGTAATAGTAACATAAGCTAACACACACATAACATAAGTAACAGTAGCATAAGCTGTACACTGTCATAACGGATTCAGAAATAAAGATAGATTTGCAGTGGTCTAGAAAATCAGCACCTGCGAAGATTCTGACTGCTGCCTTTTGAAGCGTCAAACCCCTCTCGACTCCTGAAGTGCCACCCCAAAGTCTTAAACCATAAAGAATTATGCTCTGAAAAAAGGCAAGGTACGCCACGGAACCACGCCTCGCCTTTTGGAGAGTCTGAGACATAGTACACTGCAGGACATTAAAGTTATCATTTACACCAATCAGAGTAGTGTCATCTGCATAGCAAACAACCCCCTCTTACAAATGCAAAGAAAGGTAATTTATTGTTATGTTGAAAAGCAAGAGCCCGAGGACAGACCCCTATGGGACGCCATGAGTTAGAGATTTGACAACAGAGGACTGACCATTTACAGAGACAAACTGTCTGCGCCCGCCCAAGTATGATCTCAGTAAGTCCAAGCCCTTACCCCTAACTCCATAAAAATGGAGTTTGTCAAGCAAAATCTTGTGGTCCATGGTGTCAAAGGCCTTGCTGAGGTCACACATTGTGGCCCCAGCAATGCCTCCACTCTCAAACTATTAAAAAAACCCAGTCAGAACTTCAACTGCATCGATTGTGGAACGGCCTGATCTGAAACCATACTGGGCTGACACAAGCAGTCCATTACTTTCAAAATAAGGTAACATTTGATCCTTAATTATACCTTCAAACATCTTACCAAACACAGGGAGAATAGATACAGGTCTAAAATTTTCAGGCACATTATGGTTCACCTTTTTATGGACAGGGCCTACTCTGGCTGATTTTAAGACATCTGGAAAAACACCCTCCTTAATACAAACATTGATACAATAGGTGAGTGGAACAACAATATGATAGATCACATTCTTAATTAAGGTTGCGGAGAGATCAAAAACATCCTTACTTCTAGAGCCGTTAATCGTTTGTACAACAGATAGCACATTCTCACAAGAGACAGGTTCAATGTTAAAAAAACATGTCGGTCTAGGATGCTGGGCTAGGAGGTTGACAGCAGGGGTTGGTCATTGCAGGGGTACCAATTGCATCCCGAGTCTGTTAGACAGAATTAATGAAGAAATCGTTCAGCTCCTCATCAGAAAGTCTAGTAGATGATTTTTCTTTTCCAGGAGCCCCCTCTTTTTTGATGACAGACCAAGCGGCAGCACAAGAATGTTGAGATGACTCAATAAAAATTGGCATTGTATTCTTGTTTTTATCGTACTAAACTCACCTGGTAATCCTTCTTTATCGCTTGATACCATCTTCTCAATATTACAATAATCTCTGATTTCTACTCTGGAGCCAGTGAATGCTTTGTATTCTTCGGTCTAGACACTTTATTATAAAAAGATTCTTGAAAGAGAAAAATAAATGTTCTTAAAAAATTACTAAAAATAACATTAGCATTACCCGCAAGTAGAATATTTCAGTCAACTGAGTTGAGAGCAACTATAAAGTAATATGTTTTTTCAAGAGTAATCGGTCGATAAGTCCTAGCAATATAAGGATCTTTATTCTTGGACAGAGGGTTACGGAAACTAAACTGAATGCAACAATGGTCGCCTATGGCATGTTTCACCACCTCTACTTTATATTTGAAAGCTACAACTTGAATGCTAAGGATTTATTTTTGATGTCCACCGATAATACCATACTGATCAATCAATCAATCTTTATTGTCTGTAAACATTTACAATAATGTAATAGACAGAGTCAATGGTTGTAGGCCTACTAATAAAATACTGTATAAGTTATGAATTTCAAAACAGTTATTAATGTAATGCACCTTTGATTGGGGAGGTACGTGCTTGTAGGGGGTTTATTGAGGCGGTAGCTGTTGACATTGCTTCGGCTCAGTCATGGTATTAAAAAAAAAAACAAATTTTAAGTTCATGCCGATAAAACGCAACCGATTGTTTGTGCTGTTGCAGTTTAAGTCAAGAATTATCCGCATTACAGTAAAAGTAAATACGGTTTATGTGTCATTGCATCTCTGATTCTACTCTACAAAAATATCGACGAACAACATAATATGCGGGAAGTAAATAAAAGAAACTTCTTATAACATATATTTACTCTTATACTAATACTTACAAGACTGTAAATATACATAAAAGATGAATTACCATGGTGATCGATTTCGATTGGACACTCCAATCATCATCAGACCTAATAGGCGAATGTCGAATGACAAGAATCTTGAATGGCGTCCCTACTCACTAAACTATCCACTACTACTCACTACGGACTATTTATTTATTTATTATATTTGCCTATTTTGTGCATGGTGTCATTTAAGTTAAGTCAACCCAGTTTACTAACTGGGACTGTTAGCCTAACTGATTGTTACCAGAGGATTATAGATGACTTATTTATTTATTTATTCTTTCAACGGTAACACCATTTTACATTGGAATATACATTAAATAGGATTAATCACTTTATAAACATGGCATAATTAGGTAATAAATATGAGCAATAATAAGAATAAATTAGAAAGCAAACATGACATGCAAAAGACATAACCAGTATAAAAGAAAACAAAAATAGACCCCAAATGGCAAATGGTCAAATGGCCAAATGGCCAAATGGCCTATGGTTCATAGGCTGAATCATTTCAATCGTAAGACATACATAAACATAGCAAATTAGGTAAAGGCTACTAAAATACGCGCAATAAAAATAATGAGAGTGAAAAACCGGCATAAGATGCAAAAGACATAACCAGCAAATAATATGGCGCATGGATAACAACAACAGGTAAAATATGAAGTGCAAAAACATAACAACAATATTTAACAAATAGCAACCAAGACATAACAACAACGAGAAAAAAAACTTATCCGACAACTTTAACTTGTCCGATTGCATGTAACTGCATGTTTACCCACGGGTTTCACCCCGTTTCACTTCATAAGCATTAATAAAACTATCGATTGGTTAAGTTAAGCTGAAATAAACAAAACAGAATACAGTAATACAAACAAATAATCACATTTTAATCTTCTATATCTATACTATTATATAAAAATCTAATGGCGTCTGTCTGTATGTGTGTTACTAATAGGTGCAAAAACTGCTGAACCAACTGGGCTTAAATTTTACAAAAATATAGCTACCATACCAAGGACCATTATAGGACTATTCACATTTCGATACTGACAGTAGGCTTTGCCCCTTTGGCTTTAAAAGTTCTGAGGTGAACATTTTAAAAGTAAATATTGATTGGTCTCGGTGGCTCCGATGAAAACACTAACAATGTTTGTTTACATTTGTTTGACATGTGAATGTAAACAAGAAGAACTGCTAAACTGAATATTTCACAATTTCAGACAGCTGATACAAAGAAATGAAATATAATATTTTCCATAACTATTAAGTAGGATTATTTTAATCTAACCTTTTATCATGGGTTATTTATTCTAAAACTATGTCAATGATTATAAAAAACAGATTCTATAACCGTTGCTGTATCAACTCCGGCTCTGTTTTGGATTTTTTAAAGCGTCTAAGTTATGAAAATAATGTCATTGATATGTTTTCATGGAAACAGTATGAAAATTACAATGTATAGATGTTTTGTATGAATTTGTAGGCTACTTTAAATAAATTCTAACTGCTTAACATGCGTTGGATTAACTTAACATAACTTGCACATCACATTGTTTTTTATATGCATGTTTAGGTAAATTAAGTTATTGTTTTTTGCTAAACCTATGCTTAAATTAAACTAAAGAATATCACCAATAACTAAATTGTACGTCGTTGATTTTTGTTTTCTAAAATCTGTTGTATATGTGTAACTATATTTAATTATCAAATAGTAATAAAAAATACTCATATTTTATCTTAAAATAGCTTTCAGTTCACATTTACTTTATTTGATACATTTATTATTTGTTTTGCCACACCACTGATTAAATTAAACCAAGGAAAATTTCATACAACTAAGCAGTACACAGTGTTCTTTTGTTTCTAAAAATCAATGAAATATCTGTTACTATGTTTACTTAATGGTAAGTGTGAAAATGTAAAGGCAATGGACGATAGAACTGATTAAAAGAACTGGTTTGCATATTGAGTTGTTTGTTGATATTTTTGTAGAGTAGAATCAGAGATGCAATGAAACATATACTGTATTTGCTATTACATTTTTTAGTGTTTGATGTTTTGATAATCATATTAGTTTTGTCTGCTGCCTTTAATGCTAAATTATTTAAAATGTTTTATAGCACCTATGGATAAAGTTTCTTTAATATTTCAAAAGACTGTATTGATAAGGCACAGCAATATTTCTAAAGTATATAACAGCTGACTTAGTTTTGCTAATGATTTATTGTGAGTGAAGAAACTAAAGATGGAAGGATTTGTTATTTAATATAAAAAAGAGTGAAATAAAAAAAATCATTTAAATTTAATTATTAGTATTTCTGCAACTTCAAAATTGAAATTAAAAATGTAAATAATAAATTAAAAGATAAGTAATTAAGGGAGATGAAGGTAAATCATGTATGTCAAAGTGTTATTCAAAGATTTGGTTAGTTTTTCACATATCAGCCTACACAAGATTTAAAATTAATCAAAACCAAAATGGTGGTATCCACTACTTACCCGATTTAAAAGTCATAACTTAAACGTTTCTATTACGGCTATAAAAGTTGAATTTTGTTTCTAAAAGAGTTGGCGGATGTGTAACAACTATTATGCAACAGATGTTAAGATTAAAATGTTTCTATTTTGTGTCCTCTTCCCGTTGCAAAGCACGGGTACAACAGCTTGTAAGGTAATAGATTGAAAGAATAACATACAAATAAGTACAGCTGAGGTATTTTTAACATTAGGTATATGGAAAGTTCCCTTTAGAAAGGAATTACGACCTTAAAGGGCAATTATTTGTTTTATTTAAATTATTTTTTATTTTACTTTCCAAAGGACAGCTCCATTTTGATATTTGGTACAATTTTATGCAATAACGTACAAGTAAACAATAATAGTTTAGTGGAAAACAATGAATCCGTTAATAACAAACCAAAATAGATAAACGGCAACAAGATGGCAAAAATGTCAGCGGCAAGCAACAAAACGAGTGAAAAAAACATAACAGTAACAACAAAACAAATCAATATATGCTTTACAATGAATAACAATAATACAACTTGAATTCAGTAACAATAATAGTTAACAAAGAAAAGGAATTTATGAAATAATGGATAGTTTTGCGCAAGGTTTCTCGTCATGACGATCATTTTACGTTTATGGTTTATGGGGGCGTGACTTTAAGTTTTCTCAAAAGTTCATAGGTACTTTGTGATTTATATATGGATGCCACAGATTTTTGATCCCAAAAATTAATGGCGTACAATTTAGTTATGTATAATATTCTTTAGTTTAAAAGCATAGAAAAAAGTCAATGTGAATTGCAAGTTATGTTAAGTAAATCCAACACATGTAAAGCGGTTCGAGTTTTTAAATAGCCCCAAATTCATACAAAATTTACAAAAAAAATTACACATTATAATGTTCATACTTTTTCCATAAAAATATATCAATAACATTATTTTCATAACTAAGACACTTCAAAACATCTAAAGCAGAGCCTGAACGGCTATTGAATGTTGTTTTTCTATAATCATTGACATAGTTTTAGAATAATAGCTATTTACCTTACAAGTGTAGAAAGAGCGTTTTTACACCACACAGGTGAATGTTGTGCAACGAGCGGAAGCGAGTTGCATAACTTACCTAAGTGATGTAAACACGCTCTTGCGTAACGTGTAACGTACAAGATTTTACCTGACCCGACAATATCGGCCTACAGGGGGTTAACGTACAATATTTTTCATTATCCATTTCACTCATCTTCTAACAGTAACGTTCTTTTACAAACAAAAGCTAGGTTAGGAAAATTAGTACATGCTTAAATAGTACATGCGCTAGGTGCAGTTGAGTACGCATGAAAAGAGTCAGATATTTTGACTTTTGATTCTGGTAATGGGGGCCTAGGTTAGTGTAAAAACCCATGTCGTCGCCTCCAAGGGTGGTCAACAACTTAGGGGTGGGGGCGCAAAGTTGCAAAAAACGTTAATCGGCAAACCGCTTTTAACTCCCTTGTTCTTTTAATCCATATAAATAAAATTATAGATAGATCTATGAAATAACGAACAGCTGTTCGGATCAAGATTATTTTTTCTAGCTGTCACTGATATGTTTCCATTAAATGTTGTTTACAAATACCGCAAACATTTCCAACAACATTTTGAAAGCAAAATCCAAACCAAGTGAGATTAAACTCGATTTTCCTTACATAAAGGTTTAATTAATCGAAAGTTCTATAATGTGTATTGTAACCGTAAATGAAATTAGAGATTTTTTGTGTATAAAATTGTTCTGAAGTTTTGATCACCGGGAAAAAGACCTTGAATCAGTTTTGTATAGGGCTAGGAACTTACATTTATAAAATCATCGTCGCCAATAGCTTACTAACAAGGTTTCCACTCATTGACGGAGTTTCAATGGCGGTTGTGTGAAGTGTAAAGTGAAAAACCATAACTGCAGTGGGTGATTGTAGCAGAGGTTTGCCGGTTTACGGATGATGCTAAACTCGCTTTTCCAATGTGTCACTTTCGGTTTCTGCTCACCGCTATGTGCTGCAATCGCTGGACCATACAGCCAATAAGCCCATTGACTGTATCTTGGGTACGTAGGCCAACCCAATTATTCATAACAACCAATTCGACGACGATCTTTGATACCGGTACTTTTCCCTACAATACATGTCCTACCTACTTAGGAAATCAAATTAAAAACATTAAAAAACACAACATTGTGTGATTTTTTCACATTTCCTTCTTATGTTAACTACATATACGAAACATAGTTTAGAGAATACGCAATCTTTTAAATAACAAAAAGCTGTTTGGATGAGATTGTTTTGCAAACTGTCACCAAAATGTTTACATTAAAAGTTGTTTACAAATAATGTAATGGGAAATAACTTTGATTTTCGATAACTTTTTGTCAGAAAATCCAAAACCAAGAGAGATCAATAGCCTCGGAACTGGATAAACGCATTTAATTGGTCGGATGTACTATGTAGTTCTTAACTGTAAACGTTGGTTTTTGGTACTGTTTTTTCCTTAGAACCGGTGGTATCAAAAAGAATAATTTTTACGTACCAACACATCACTATTTACAAATTAGTTATCGTTAGTGTTGCACCTTATTTATTAGAGTAGTATTCAATTTAACTGATGTCTTACTGAATAAGTTTTGCTTTTCCTTTATATGTCATTGTATTAGGTTTATATATAATAGTTTTGCCAGCACATCTGAAAATATGCAAACCAACTGCTGTACTTTATACAATAAGGTTTCAACTGACTACTATAATATCCCCGTGCGTGGAACGGGCACACAGCTAGTTACTTTTAAAATCCTTACCTCAGAAATTATAAAGCCAAAGGGGCAAAGCTCGCGGTCAGTATCGAAGTATGAATAGTCCTATTACCTTTCTTGGTATGGTATCTATATTTTTGTAAAATTTAAGCCCAGTCGGTTCAGTAGTTTGTGCGTCTAATATAGTCATACTAGCGCACAATAATTACATTTTTATGTAATAGTATGGATAAAGAAATTAGTAAGACATAGTACCTGTTTGACCCGTTGGGGTTTGCAAATGCCCTGTAATATTTTCTTGCTGTGTATTCTTTGACCAATGGTCACCTGAGTGTTTTTTCTGTACCGTATTTAGATCGTATATTGGTTTGTTTTTAAACACATGCTATGGTTATTTGTTTACATCGACGTTGCTATTTCGTAACCATCATCGTAACCCTTAAGCCTAATTTTAAAACTAAAAAGGTTTTGTAAAATTGTAATGAAACAATCAAAATTAAATTTGTTTATTAAATAACATTCCCTCCGTTTGTGGACATAACCTCGGCAAGTTTGTGTGTTATATCATAGATAAAAGGAGTTTAATCTATGCTTATATGTTCAACTGTTATTGCGTGGTGCAATAACAAACTTTGCATAAAACCCGATCTTAATGAGATCTGCTTAATTATGAGATTTTTATAGCATTATTATTTCGGTAAACTGATATGTAAGGCTGGTAACGTCGGTTCTCTTCTAAGAATTGAAAATGTTATAGCTACTTAATATAGAGTCACAATTATAATTAAAACTTTAAGGAATTTAATGGATTTGTTTAGTGTCAAATTATTTTTTATATGACGGTAATCAATTTTATAATTATGTTTATTGTTCCAGGGAGATTCAAACTCCTGCCCTTTCAACACAAGTAAGTTTTTATCATAACTTGCTTATTTTGTAAAAGGAGGAAATAAGACTGATTTAAGGTACATTCGATACATTAAATAATCTGTAGGTGGCTCACATCAACTACGACGATTTTGATCAAAAGTCTGGCTACAAATTTAACATGGTGATGGAATGTCTAGTTGTATTGATAGTCAAAGATGTAGTTGTAATTGTAGTAAAAGTAAGATCTCAGGCACAAAAGAATTTAAGTATACCTTAAAATCACCTTAAATTATCACTGACATTTGTGGTTACTGACACAAGCTAGACATTTTCCCAAAAGATCTAAGTATTGACTAGTATGCGAAGGTTGTGAGTGATGGACAGCCAGAATCAAGGTGAATTGATGATATATTGACACCAGTAACTTGAAAGACTAGTTCCACATAGAATTGGTCAAGGCCAAGATTCTTATAGCTAAGGTTGTCATTTACATATAACAACAACCCATTCTTCTTCTCAGTTCTAGTAAAACATGTGCCATGGTTCTGTCTCCAATCACACTAACAGATTGAGAATTTTAGCTAGTCATCCAGTGTTCATTCAAACAAGATGTCTTGTTTTGTCAAATCAACCCATTGTCGACCAACGGGACTCACAGGCTTCGGATTTTCTTTGGTAGACATGTTGACGATAAATCAAAAAATACATCAATCCAACATTGCTATTGGCTGTATGGGTTGCCTAGCAACATCTTTACAACGACTACTTAGTTCTATTTTACTATAACTGATGGCCCCTACAGCGTATTCCATTCACAACTCCCAACTTTAAAATCTGATTTTATACGGTACACACTAAAAATAAACGAATATTTTATTTTTCTGTTATTATTATCTAGTTTTATATCAAAGAATCTTCATAGAAACATACTGGCTGTAGTACTTGATCAGATATACTCAATCGAGACTTAGTCCCATTAGGCTGCAAGGATCCCAGCTGATCAGCAAGTTGCCAGATTACAGACAAAAATTGTAAATTTTTACTTTCTCCCCCTGTATAAGGAGAAAGTATTGTTTTACATCAAAATTTTCGAGTTTGAGTTTTGAGTGGATATATCTGTTTTGGGTCCCCCTGAACCCAAAAAAGTGGTTTTCGAAGTGCAGTAGAGTCCCGTTAGTCCGAAATGGTTGGGACCAGGCCGAATATTTCGGATTAAACGTTTTTTTTATTTTTTTTATTTTTTGGAATTTTTTTATTTTTTGAAATTTGTTTTCGTCATATTTCTTACTACTTTTTTTCGGACGCAGGCACGAGCCCGGGATTGACTTTCACATTACTTAAGGCTAGACCTATTGGCTGCAGCATTATCACTTAATAAAATCCATTTGTGATTTGGCGGACGAAAATGTAAAATGTTACAGTAATAACAAAAATGGTGAAATATTTACTAAAATACTCTACAAAAAAAGTCTATCTCGCCCAGCCGCTACAGAATACTTTGACGAGGTACAGCTAACTGTGTCAAAAGTTAAATTTAAAAAAATTCAAACAAATTTCCAAAAAAATTTCAAAAAACTTTAAGAAATTTTAAAAAATTTTCAAAAAAATAATAAAAAAAATAAAAAAAAATAATATTTTTTGGTTTCGGATTAAGCGGACTTTCGGATTACCGAAGTTTGGATTATCGGGACTCCACTGTGGTGTGTGTGTGTGTGTGTGTGGGTGTGTAAAGAGCTAGAGACTACACCGGTCCGATTTTGATGAAATTTGGTGTGTAGGTTCAAATCTTTGGTATCTCCAGGTGCTTTTTTTTAATTTTTATTTTTAATGTTGATTTGTCCATAAAAAACCATAAAATAAGGTAGGGAAAACCGGATTTTCTCATAATTGGCCGGAACGATTTTGATAAAAATTTTGTATGTTGTAGCCCTTTAAATTCTGAATAAAATGGTGCAACTGCCAATTGTGTAAAAATTATGGTTCAAAAGTTATTGTAAATTATGTTATTTTCCTATAAAAACCCCATAAAATAACGAAAAATAGGATTTTAGAAAAAAATTCTGTTTTGATTTAACTAAATATGTTATGGTCCTTAAAACTTTGAAAGTTTTTTAAATTTTTTTTTATTTTGATTTTTAATAGGGATTTTCCCATAAAACCCCATAAAATAACGGAAAATTAGGATTTTCTCGAAAATCCCCCCAACGATTTCCTTATAAATTTAGAATGTTATAGTTCTTTAAATTCAGAACAAAATGGTACCTAAAAATCCCATTTCCGTAAAAATACGGTACAAAAGTTATTGTAACTAATGTTATTTTCCCATAAAAAAACCATCAAATAACAAAAAATAGTACAACACCCCATTGCTGTAACAATTACGTTTCAAAAGTTATAGCAACTTTTGTGAATTTTAACTATATAATATCATTTTTACTCTTACCGCTTACCCATGATAAAGGTTGTTGATGAGCTTATGGGAGAAAGTATGTGTCAGAATGCTGATACTGTTTATTACTGTTATAATACTAAAATTATAATTTTTATCATGATTATATCATATTCCTGAGTCTGTATTGACAGCATCTATTACAATGAATGTCATTAGAAATAATATCCAGGACAGATGTTTGTTGTCATTGTTTACATTTAACATTCTATGTTTATTCGAAAGTAAAGGATTTTAATTTCAGTTATTCAATAATTTACATGCTTTCCAGTGTGTGAATTATTAGTACAAAATATACCAGGCCACCAGTTCGAGTCACAATGATTAATTTGATGACGAAGATAGGATATAAAAGTAAAGTTAGTTTGATTGTTCTAAAATTGGAAATCTGAATATAGAAAATTTTTACATTATTGGATGAGGTTTTATATTAAGGGTAAGCCTAAAGGGGGTTGGTAAGCCTGAGAGGCATGGATATGGTCATAAACGTATAGTGCTTGGGTTTTTAAAGTGATTTCGTGGTTATTCATCAGATTTTTAGCAAGTAAGTTATTTGAGGAAGTGCTCTTAAATAGAACTTTGGCAGCAATCCATTGGTTTTAAAATTCAAGTAGTTTTTTTTTTATTAAAGGTGACTTTGTGTCTTTGATCACAATTAATTGAGCTAGGTTAGTTCACAGACCACGCTTTACCAGAGGGAAGTTTTGATCTCGTACTACAAAGTACGCGCATGCGCACTACGGTGCCAGGGTTGCAACTGACATAGGGATCGAGGGAATCTCTCCGGGAAATCGCGTGGGAGTTGTCATCTCCAAGAAGTATATACCCTATCTAGCGGAGACACTAGGAAGTTGACGGAACAACGTACTGCGGGTTTGTTTTGCCTTCATTTTTTCAATAGTCTATTACCACATTACGTTACTGTTCTGCTAGCCTGCGCACATAAATAGAAGAGGCTGTTAATTATGACCGGACCAATGTCTCGACGCGGACGTGGAAATTTTATGCGTGAAGTTCAAAAGGAACTCGGAAATCTTCGCGGCGAACTGGTGAATAAAGACACTATTGATTTTGCAGTTAATATTCGTGGAATACTTGCTTCAATATCAAAAAAGCTTGAAAAGTACAGAAGTGATGCTATAGTCGATTTGATCCATGTAATAACTGAGATTTAAAACCAACTTGACGCTTCAAAGGCGGTTAATATTGACTTGACAAAAAATTTGTCTGAACTGTCTGACGAAAATAAATCTTAATCAGAACTGTTGAGACAGAGAAGAATAAAGGACAGGAAAGCTTCAAGGCATCTTTAAGTTATGGAGAAAAAACCGAGGATGAAATAAAAACTCTTCAGCTCCGGATTGAGAAATTGGAAGAAATTAAGCGGCATCTGAGGGATGAAATCTATCAATATATCTATCTATATATTGTAAGAAAGGGGATTAACCCCGTACCCACGGTGCTCATCTATGCAGACACTCTGTTCACATTACACTTAGTCGACCAGTTGGTGTGAACAGAGTTGAACAGTAGCATGAGCATCGATTTACAAATTCCTTTCCCAGCTGATGTGAGCTAGGCGATGACCGGTAGGGCTGACTTCCAAGAAACACCGTTAACCTATAAGCCACACACCCTACCGGTAATCAGCCAATGAGAAGGGCAAATGAAGAAGATGGAGGGGTGACGACTCTTGGAGCTGGAGGATCTGAAGGAAAACATCGAGGAAGATCACTACGGGCCACCGGAGAAAGAAGATCGGGAGTTTGGGAGTGCGTGTATCGGTGCGTGTGCTTCTGGGACAATTAACAGTATGTAAAAAGAATAAAATATATAACTAAAGTTTTGTCAAACATACAAGTCATGTAATTTGTCAGTAACTAATTCTTTTACATTTTCAATTGATTTTCTTTTCTTGTAAATTTAACGTTGTAAATTTATTTATCTTATTATTGTTGATTTTTGCCTTTTCTAAGTTTTCTTTTGCTGTTGTAACACTTTGTTACTTTTGTAGTTTTTTCTAAATTTATGTTTTTGTTCATTACACGTTGAGTAACACCCTTAAGCAGTCTTATGTCTCATTAACCTAACACCTCTTGACTAAGCTAAGCGAGTGTAACATTTTAGGAAACTTAAACTTAAAGTGAGGCATGGGACTCGCATGGTGGAGGCGCCGGGGGGGCACCAGCTCATTCTACCGCGTCGCTGGAAGGGTCGCGAAACAAGCAAATGCGCCGATCCTCAAGATCGCGTCGCGTCGCAGGAAGGGGGGAAGAAGAGTCGGAACGCACATCAAGATATCCGTTCGATTCCTACCTTCGCGATTGATGTTTCCGCGTATCTCCTTAAGTTAACATTTTAGGAAACTTAAACTTAAAGTGAGGCATGGGACTCGCAATATATAAAATCCAATGTATGTTTGTTTGTATGTTTGTCCTTTATGGACTCCGAAACCGCTCGACAGATTCTAATGAAACTTTCAGGCATTATTAAGCATTATTCAAGGATGGTTTGTGTGAAGTTTGGTGCAGATCCGTCAAAAGGGCTCCGCCCCTGTGGCTCTTGAGTTTCCCATGTTAATCTTATGA